GCCGACCTGGAGGGTTGTCACGTCTGGCCCGAGGGCTGTGACGGTGCCGGAGGATTCGTGGCCGAGGCACATGGGCTCGCGCACGACGAAGTCGCCATTGCGGCCGTGGTTGTAGTAGTGGAGGTCTGAGCCGCAGAGACCGGTTGCACGGATGGCGACCTGGACTTCGGAGCCGGTGGGAGGGGAGATAGGTCGTGATTCCTGGACGTGTGTTATTATCGAGCTGTTTTAGGACAAAAAAGTTATTACTTACCAGGCGGAGATCTTTGGCGCCGTGGAGGACGAGTGCTGTTGTTGTGGTGGTTGTGGTGGTCATGGTGCTTGTTGAAATGTCCTTGTTGATGGGATCAAGAGGGACCTTGGAGGAGAAAAGTTCACATCTAATCATTACTCATGGCAGAAGAACTATTATGGATGACTCCGAAGCATCACCAGTTATTCATCTTCTCCTCCCCTCGTCGGCCATTGAATAACGTGGGGTCATACCGGATTTGCTCCGCAGCGGGAATTGAACCGCTTTTCAATAGCCGACAGCGTAGATTACCAACATAACATGTTGTATTTAAACACCACGGTCGGGAGTATCCTGAATTTAGGGCAATTCGTCTGCATCAGCGACTTATAGATAGCCTCCTCAGTCTATTTCAGTCTATCTGAACGTTAGTCATGTTTATTCCTCACATCTTCTGCGTCTGGCATAAATAATGCCATTGTTTCGCTGTATCGCAGTTCGTATCTATGTATTGATGTATCGACTGGTGTAAGAATACCGTGCTGTAATACTGGTAACCCCCACGCAATTTGGAGGAGCTCCGGGAAATGATAACCAAGATCAAGTCGAGAAACAATATCAGTAAACATGATCAGAGGTCCAGATACTAGTCAGGTGAATCCTTTCAATTATCTCTTTGCGTATCTCCCTTTCTCCTTTCTTCGTATCTCAAGTACTCCGTCCCTCCCTGCGCTCAGTTCCTGAACATTGAATTCTTCTTACACCACGATAAGAGCTCTCACCCCGCTCTCCAACTCTGACATCATGCCTTCAGCTCTACTCATCGGTGCCATCACCCACGCCAGAAAGGAATGGGAGGATCTCTCGTCCATTCTGACTCTAAAGGTGAGTTCGCGATTGTGCTCTGGGAGTGTCATCTCTAATGTAGCGTTGAAGGAATTTCCCGAAGGCACAAGAGACGAGTTCATCCGGAATTGCAAAGACGGGAAGTACGATGATGTGGTAGTGATTTACCGATCCAATGCGTCTAACAAGGTAAACGCACCAGTGGAACGGGGCGATAAAGGCCTACTTGCTGATTGAGCTCAGTTCACTGGTCCATTCGACACAGAGTTGCTCTCGGTCCTTCCCAAGTCATTAAAGTATATCTGCCACAATGGAGCTGGCTACGACAACATTGACATCCCGGGCTGTTCAGAGAAGGGTACGATCATCTACGACTTTCGATACAGAAATCAGAAAAGCTGATAAAGTACAGGAATTGCTGTCTCCAGTACCCCAGTCGCTGTTAACCACGCAACAGCCGATGTAGGCATCTTCCTGATGATTGGCGCTTTGCGCCAGGCTTATGTCCCCTTATCTGCTCTCCGCGCTGGTTAGTATTCTGCTGTTCAATTCTACGAAACCTGAAAAAAATTGACAATTTTCATAGGCCAATGGCAGGGAAAGACTACGCTTGGGCATGACCCTCAGGGCAAGGTGCTTGGTATTCTCGGGATGGGAGGAATCGGAAGGGTAAGCCATGTTCTTTCAAGTCGCAGGATCCGGCAGCTGACTTTGCAAATAGGAAATGGCCAGTCGCGCACGAGCGTTCGGAATGAAGATACAGTACCACAACAGATCGAGGCTCTCACCACAGCTTGAGGGGGATGCGCAGTATGTCTCGTTTGATGAGCTGCTGGCGAACGCGGATGTCCTCAGCCTGAACCTCGCCCTCAATGCCAAAACTCGCCATATCATTGGCGAGAAGGAGTTCCAGAAGATGAAAGACGGTGTGGTCATTGTGAACACGGCTCGTGGTGCTTTGATTGACGAAAAGGCTCTGGTCGCCGCTTTGGATTCGGGCAAGGTAAGCTCCATCCTATCCTTCTTCCTGCGTTATGGGTAGTAACGTAATGCGACAGGTCATGTCCGCTGGTCTGGATGTGTATGAGAATGAGCCCGAGATAGAACCTGGACTTGTAAATAACCCCCGCGTGATGCTGCTACCACATATTGGAACCGCAACCTATGAGACTCAGAAGGAAATGGAGCTCTTGGTCCTGAACAACTTGCGCTCGGCGGTGGAGAAGGGCGAGATGATCACATTGGTGCCGGAGCAGAAGGATATCTTCAAGGGGCAGAATGGGAAGTAACTGATGATCCAATAGACTTTATTTTCATCTCGATAGAGCAATGCACATTTTATAGACGACCATTTCCCTATACTAATAACCATAATAACCATCAATGAGATAAAGCTTATAGAGCAACTTTGACGTTCTKATCTGCCGGGCGGTGAGTGATATGACTACCGGACTGGGTCTAGTGTTAGGGCTCGCTTAGGGCGTGCGGGCGCCAAGAGCGAAAAAGCGCACCACAACGAGCGAGCTTCGCGATCTCAAGATTCCAGCGGCCGACCAAAGCAAAGCGACAAACTTCTCATCCGACATCGAGGACCACCCCGCTCGGCAACCGCATCAAGATGGTGAGTGTTTTTGACATTATTCAAGACGACGGAAACGATGGCGAAGGAATGGATCGAAAAGGAAAAAAAGGCAGCCGACAAGAGTTGAGGAAATACGCTCTCAGGACGTTTCCCGTTGCACCAGCGATGTTCGACCTTTACCTGTGTCGTTCCTGGCTATGCCCTGTTCACGAAAAGGAAAAATTCGAAAATTTGAATTCTACCGACGCCATCGTTTCCCCTCCGTTTTATATGCCATGAAGGAATTGGGAATAGGAAATGGAATTTGCTGATGTTGGGTCTTTGTTTGCATCAGGTCCGTTACGCTGCTCAGGACATTCCGGCCGCAAAGAGCGCCCGCGCCCGGGGCTCTTACCTGCGTGTCAGCTTCAAGAACACCCGTGAGACCGCTCAGGCCATCAACGGCATGAAGCTGCAGCGCGCCCTTACCTTCCTCGAGAACGTCAAGACCAAGACCGAGGTTGTTCCCTTCCGGCGGTACGCTGGCAGCATTGGTCGCAGCGCTCAGGGTGAGTGTCGACAATTTCTTTGTCCCTTGAAGTGGAGGTATCGGTTCACGTTTATGGGAATGTCTGGTGGTTTTGGCGAAGAGACAAGATGGAGTTTCTAAGGCTTTCTGCATGGAACGCGGACCGATGACCATTTGGGGGAACATATTGAAATCAAATGCTGACTGTATTACAGGCAAGCAGTGGGGTGTCAGCAAGGCTCGCTGGCCCGTCAAGTCCGCTCAGTTCCTCCTCGACCTCCTGAAGAACGCTGAGGCCAACGCCGACACCAAGGGTCTCGACACCGGCAACCTCATTGTCAAGCACATCCAGGTCAACCAGGCTCCCAAGGGCCGGAGACGCACCTACCGTGCTCACGGTCGTGTACGTTGACCTACGTTCCACAGCTGGAAATCAACCAATGAGACTGACTCGGACACTAGATCAACCCCTACATGACCAACCCCTGCCACATTGAGCTCATCCTTACCGAGGGTGAGGAGACCGTCCAGAAGGCCCCTCAAGTCGCCAAGCGCGAGGGTGCCCACCTCAGCTCCCGCCAGCGTGGTACTCAGATCCGCCGTGCCCTCATCGAGGCGTAAGCGGGCTGTAGATGTCGGGGGGTTAGGGTAGTCGGAAAATGAATGGGAAGCCGGAGTTTGCTGTTGTACGGAACAAATACCTGGTCACGGAAAGGAATGCAAAAGAATTTCCATTATTCTATCTTCTGAATAAAACGAAAAAATTCGAAACCAAACTGGCGATGAGCATGAGACAAAAGATATAGGCTAGGGATACCTCGCGGAGGGTCCGTCGGCATAGACCTTTGACAGGTCTGATCATTTTTTTTGGTTCTGTCTCCGTCCGACGTTTCGAGGCTGGGATTGAGTAACTGAGGTTCTCGTCTGGCAATCGGTTGATGATCGGTTTCTTGTCTTGGTACAACCAGCCCGGACCTTCTCTCATATATTTCGAGATAATGTCGAGCGTTATTTCATGAACGGGATACGGATTCATCTTTTCCTTGATACCAATCTTTCCTTGATGTTTCGAGACTACTCGAATCCAGACCATTAGACTCTACAGTGTAACAACATGAAACTTTCGCTTATGTCTTGTAGTCCAAAGGTTAAACATGAAGGTGAACTCAAAAACCCATCACCAGCCATAGATGCTTGACCAAAGAAAGGCGACATTCGTCAGCTTCTGCAACATATCATTGATGCCTTGAGAGCCAAGCGTGGCGGTGCTTCTCTGCTTGTCTTTTTCAGCCAGAGCATGACATTCGATGCGGAGCTTAAACTGGTTCAACGAATAGCTTGTTGCGTGCTGATGGAGTAAGACTCTTAATTCCGATATGCATACGTATCAAGTGTACTCGCTTGCATCACCTGCTCAGACTATAGTCCGGAAGAATAACTGCGTTGCGACCGTTGGACCGAGGACTGATTTGAATGCTCATCCTCCAAAGAACAGAAAGCTTGCTTGCGTGTCCTTGACGTGACATTGCCACTGCCAACTCGGGCCTACCTAACCATATATTTCAGACTACGGATTGTGGCTCGTGGCTATAATTTTGGTTTATGGTTATGGTTCTGATTATGGTCCAGGCACATCGGAGGTTTGCGTTTCTGCCTTCCGCGCAGGTACTGCCTAAACATCTCCGTACTTAAGCTACTTTCTACCTAGTTGGGGTTGTCGGCTGCGCTGGGGTTCATCTAGCCAGTCTGTCTTCTTTCCCTCTCCTCTTGTCTTACCACTATATTCTGCGAGGGATTCTTGTTGTATATCTCGTTTTCACGTATTCTATATAATGAAGCGCATATTTGGTTCTCTCAGCAGGCGCTCGAGTGAGTCCCCATCCGCCCCTTCTATGGACCCTTGTTTACCCCGGGACGCTCATTAGAAATAGGCCCATCGCTCAGCAGCCCTTCGGAGTACCCGGATGACTCGCCCGAGGGAACGATTCTGAAAGCAGTGGTACGTATGACCCTCGGAAATATCGTTCGAATGACGTCAAATATCGAATAATCACTAATGCGACAACTGGGGATTACAGAAAGATTTCTGCGAGAGCGGGGGACAGCAAGACAACCGAGTATGTTGGCTCATTTGGCTCACCAACTGAGCCGTCATTGCAAAATATCGCTGATATCGCGGTCGCACAGCAAGGAAACGAATTCGTTCACCTGCCCGCAATTGTCGAAAGCGCAGAGTCCAGCCCCAATGCCGCCAGAGAGGCTGCCCAGCGGCTTCGCAAATACCTGTCCGATCCAGCCTCGACTCCAGCCCAGATCCAATACAATGCGATTATGCTTATGCGCATACTCATCGACAATCCGGGCCACACCTTTACACGCAACATCGATGCCAAGTTCGTCGCTACGATAAAGAGTCTCCTGCGTGATGGGTGGGACCTCAACGTGCAACACTTCCTGCGGGAAACTCTGGATGCCATCGAGTCGCAGCGACAGTGGGACGAGGATCTAGCGCCGCTGATGCAGATGTGGAAGAAGGAGAAAAGTAAATTGAGCAGGCAGAACAGTGGGGTATGTTTGTCAAGTCATGGTGAAGTAATGCAATACATTGCTAACGGTAGGCGCTTGGGCAGAGCACCTGGAGATCTTCACGGTCGCCGCCGCAGCAGCAGCAGCAGCAGGCATACCCATACATGCAGAACTCTACCCGGCCTGCGTCGACACTACCACCGCCAGATGAACTCGCTGCTCGCGTGACAGAAGCCAAAACGTCGGCCAAGTTACTCCTGCAGTTCGTTCAGTCGACGCCCCCCGCAGAGTTCAACGAAAACGAGCTCATCAAGGAATTCTGTACTCGCTGCCAGACGGCATCCCGCGCCATTCAGAACTATATCCATTCGACGAATCCCGCACCGGACGAGAACACGCTTCAGACCTTGATCGAGACGAATGATGAGCTGTCGGTCGCCTTGTCCAAGTACCAGCATGCCTTCCTCAGCGCCCGCAAAGCAACCGGCAACTCGGGCAGCCAGTCACCCATTTCATCGAACGGAGCCAGTGCGGCTGGTACCAGTCGTCCGCTCCCTGTGCTCCCAGTGCCGCAGCGACAAGAGCAAAGTCCCTCCCCCTCGGTATCCTCACCACCACCGCCGCAGCAGCAGCAGCAGAGCACTGCAACGGCGGCTCCTTTGTCAGCGGCGCCTCCGACGGCAGCGCCCGTGAATAATAGCGCGGCTCGGTACGAGTACCGGTCGGAGGATTTCCAGGTACAGAATCCATTTGCGGATGACTACAGTACAACCAACAACACTCTGGGTGCCACAGAGAACCAGCAACAGGCAGGGCCATACCAACATGCTACGCAGCACACTCTCTAATATCGGGGTGATTTAAGTCTGGCTCGGCCATTTCCGGTAAATACGGATAATTCAGACGATTGGGCGTTCTTGAGCCACTTTGCTTTTCGGTGCAATCTAGCCGCTTTCATTATGATGGATATAATTGATGCGATACCACTTTGCGAATCATGAGCATTGGATATTCCCCCTGCGTTTTGATTACTTGTGGCATTATCCCCCTTTTGCGTGTGATATAATTCGTGGATGATTGATCAAGGAACGAGGAATTCGAACATAAAATCATCATCAATTGTGGAGACTACTATATGGACCTGATGCCTGTTTTGTCGCTTACATATTTATCCAGTGGGTCGTCGTACTGAGCGCATGTGAAGGCGTCAAGCATATAGATTGATGTTTAGGACGCTACGACTCATGAATCTCCCACGGATATTACAGCAGGACAAACTCCGGCATAAAAACTTTGCCTAGGGAAGCAGCCMGATTCGCCATTGAAGGCTAGACGTCGCACGATATGAGGGCTGTCTCTCATGGGGCGGTGGTCTTAATGAAGCTGAAACTCGCAGAGTGCCAAGCATCCCGGAGCAGCTCCTAAAGCAAATCCACCGCCGTCTCCATTTGTTTCATGTCAATTTATCCAAAACCACGTCGGCGCTTCGGTCTGCTTAGACATTTTCCATGCCCAGTGAGTCGGTCGGTTGCCCTCCGATGCCCTCTGACTCGCTTTTAGCGGCTTAGTGGATAGCTAACGGCTAAGCTATTGCCAACCCTGAGCTATGTCCAGCTCCTAGACCAACATAGCTCACAAATGCCCTTCTCCGGTGGAGTAAGCCGGCGCAACTGGTGAAATTTCGGGATGAAGTCTGTTCCTGAATCCCTGTTTGAGGCTAAAGTCGTGTCTCAGAATGGACGTCGCTCCTGGAGCTGGCCCTGTTGGTCGTTGTATATAGAGTTGGTCGGGCTGCCTTGCTCTCTGCTCCTCTCTTCTCCTTCTCTCAGCACGCAGGCTTGCTTCATTCCACATTCTTTCTTCTGAGATTGTTAGGTCTGTGACCATTTCATTCTTTCCTTTCGCTTCAGTCTAAGACTCTCCTTGATCGATCCACGTTCGGTATACTGGTATACCTGCTCCATTCTCTGAACCTTATACTTTCCACATTTCGATTCCCACCACCCACAACCAACACAATGAAGCAAACCGGAACTCTTGTTGCCCTCGCCGGCCTGGTCTCTATGGTCCACGGTCACGGTTTTGTCACCTCTCCCAAGGCTCGTATGCCCGGTGCGGCCATGAAGGCTGCCTGCGGTAACCAGGTAGAGGTCAACCAGCAGTCCGACAACTACGGCAACATCCAGGGTGAGCTCCAGGTCGCCAAGAGCCAGAGCGACTACAACGCCGGGGAGTGTGATATCTGGCTCTGCAAGGGTTACAAGTTCGCCGACAACAAGGACAACGTCTACTCGTACACCGCGGGCCAGACCGTCGACTTCGTGGTTGACATCCGTGCCCCTCACACCGGTGTAGCCAACGTCTCCGTCGTCGACACCGCCACCAACTCTGTGATTGGCAATACTCTCAAGTCCTGGAGCAACTACGCCTCGACCGCCACCGGTGTCACCAAGGACGAGACCAACTTCAGCGTCACCATCCCCGACAACCTGGGCAGCAAGTGCTCCGAGGCCGGTGCCTGTGTCCTCCAGTGGTACTGGTATGCCCAGTCGATCGACCAGACCTACGAGTCCTGCATTGACTTCACCGTTGGTGGCTCTGGCTCTTCCAGCTCTGGTTCCAGCTCTGGCTCCAGCTCCGGCTCCAGCTCCGGCTCCGGCTCCTCTTCGGCTGCAACCACTACTGCCAGCCTTGCTGTCACCACTCCCAGCACCGGAAACAACGTTGTCTCCACGCCTACCACTATGGTCACCAGCGTGAAGCCGTCTGCCACCGCGACCACTGGCACCGCCAATGGCGCCGGTTCGTCCACGTCCTTCCCCACCAGCGGCACTGCTGAGGAGCAGCTTAGCTTCATTGGTTCTCTCCTGAAGAGTCTGCTGCAGTATGCTGCTTAGGAATAAAGCGCCGGTGTATCACATGGGGGGTGAGATGTGTGTAACTAGTGATAGAAATAGAATTGCCTGTCTGCATAAGTCTGCCGTACTAGTGGAATAGGCATAATAATGCATAAGTACTGTTGGTCTACCCCTGACAAATGCGGTGATCAGATAAGATAAGCTCAGCCACTGCCAAGCCGGGTTTTTTCCTTTTCGGGAAGCTCGGATGGCCTCACTCTTTTCTCACCGTCAATGATAAAACCTATTCATCCCTTCGTCTTCTCATCATCCATCATAAGTTGATATTGATTTACTCCGTAGAATCAACTGCTTCACCATGGAGGACAGTCACTTTCGACACAGCATCTCTCACCACCCTTCACCCTTCAACCCGCACACCCTACACTCGCACATCCCCCGAGACCGGGGCTCACCGGCCTTGAGCTTGAACGCTGCCACCAGCACGGCTCTCGATCCCTCTGATCAGACACAACCACACAATTCTCAGCACCGTACGAACGCAAGCAGCGATGAAGAAGGCCAGCCGCCGCCCCGGTACACCGCGGAAAACGATCCCTTCCAACTCGCCTCGAAGCTGAAAACCGCCGAGGAGATCCGCCAGATCCAACCAGTAGCCAACACCTCGCGCAAACGCGATGTCTCCTCCTCCTCCTCCTCCGCCGCCGCTGCAGGAATCAAACACCGCAGCCGCAATGCCATCTCCAACACCCTCGCCTCGCGCCAACTGCAGGGCTTCTACAAGGCGCAGAACGAGAACATCGAGCGCATGCTCAAGCCCGTCGAGGAACACGTCCGCGCCGCGCGCGAGCTCAACAGCAACAACGCCCTCCGCTACCGCATCGCCGTCTACGGCTCCTTCGCCGCCAACGTCGTCCTCTCCGTCCTCCAGCTCTACGGCGCCATCTCCTCCGGCTCCCTCTCCCTCTTCACAACCATGGCCGACGCCATCTTCGACCCCTGCTCCAACCTCACCCTCCTGCTCTGCAACAAGGCCGTCAACCGCGTCGACCCCCGCAAGTTCCCCGCCGGCAAGGCCCGCATCGAAACAGCAGGCAACATCTGCTTCTGCTTCCTCATGACGGCCGTCTCCTTCATCCTCATCGCCTTCTCCGTCCGCGAGCTGGTGGAGGGCTCCGACGCCGCCACGGGCTCCTTCCACCTCCCCTCCGTCATCGCCGTCGTCGTCGCCTTCTGCACCAAACTCGCCCTCTTCCTGTACTGCTGGGCCCTCCGCAACCAGGTCTCCCAGATCAGAATCCTCTGGGAAGACCACCGCAACGACCTCCTCATCAACGGCTTCGGTATCCTCACCTCCGTCGGCGGCAGTAAACTGCGCTGGTGGATCGATCCCATGGGCGCCATTCTCCTCTCCGTCCTCATCAGCGTGCTCTGGCTGCATACCGCCTACCATGAGTTCCAGCTGCTCATCGGCGTCACCGCCGATACCAAGATGCAGCAGCTCATCACTTATATCTGTGTGTTCCATTGCGTTTCATCTCTAGATTATTGAAGAGGCTAATGATCTATCAGCTATGACTCATTCCCCGTACATCACTGCCATCGACACCGTCCGCGCGTATACCTCCGGGCCCCGGCTGCTCGTCGAAGTCGACATCGTCATGGACCCCGAGGAGTCCCTGCGGGCGACCCACGACGTCGCCGAGGAGCTGCAGATCAAGCTCGAGTCGTTGCCCGATGTGGAGCGGGCCTATGTCCATGTCGACTATGAGACGACTCACAAGCCGGAGCATTTCTTGAAGAAGGAGCTGTAGTCGCTATATCTTCTGTGATTTCTGAATCTACCATTGGCTATTGCTATTATGGAATACTTGTATGGGCTGGGATGTTCTCGCAAGGATCATTGGGAATCAATGTATGCTGTCTAAGGTGTATCCATATGTCATATCTATCTGCAACCACCACTGGCCTCTAGATACCTGCAACCCTGGCTCGCCAGAGCAAGAAACAGACGGGTGTCCTGTGAAATAAACCCAAGAAAACAAAGAACAAGAAAGAGAGCCATGACTGTCATCAGCACACGCAACAGGCAACAAAAATTGATCACGATTGTTCAAAGAGAGCAATAGTAGAGCAAAAGTTACTCTCGTTCTCGTCCTGAGGCACAATACCCGCGCCGTTCGACGAGGTGATCATGTTGACGCTGGCCTTGGTGCTCAGTCCGTACAGATGGACATTCGAGCAGTCAACCTCCACCATGTTCTCCTGGCACGACTCGGGCTCCAAGCATGTCTGCCCGTAATTGTCGAAGAAGCTGTACAGACCCGCCCCGTACACGAAAAGGTCTGAGGTGTTCAACACGCGCAGACCCCAGGCCTTGCGGCACGAGGCGGTCGTGCAATGAGCGAAGGTGGGATCGTTCCATGTGGTCTGGGGCGTGAAGGGTGTCAGTGCGTCGGGGTTGGACTGGTAGTAAGGCGTCTCCGTCTGGATCAGGGCCATGAAGACGTTCTGCGCGTTTGCAACCTGGTACTCGTACAGCTGGTGGTGCTCCGAGGCCGTGCCATACAACCAGACGGGACCATCGCTCTCAACCAGGACACCACGGCCGGTGTAGATGTTGATCTGGTTGTGGTCGGCCAGATCGAGCTCGTGGTCCGCCGTCCAGAACCAAGCGTTCTCGACGTAGGCGCTGGCATGCTCGGTGATGTGCAGCAACAGGAACGCACCGATGCACTCCGGGTTCGGGGTTGTGGTCGCCTGGGGGTTCTTGGAGCACTTGTCGCTCTGCAGTTCCGTGCCCGCAGAGCCACCAATGCGGAAGTGCACATCCCACATACCCACAGATCCCTGGCTGGTTTCGCCAACATTCCATTCCATCAGGACTGCGCCGGGCGCGGGTCCCTTCGTCTGGATGGCGAGGTCGGTGATCTCCACAGAGCCCTTCTCTCCGGGCTGACCAATCTGGAGAAGGGGAATTGGGTTCTTTTCGTCCGCAAATTTCTCGCCGTAAGCCATGAGAAGGGGCCAGACTTCACCGGTGATCTTGATATTCTTGGGCACCTTGATCGTGTCGGTGATGACGTAGGCACCGTGGTCGAAGTAGACGATCTGGTTCTCCGTCACGCTGTTCAGCACTTTCTGGATGGCGGCCGTGTCATCGGTCTGGCCATCACCCTTGGCACCAGCCGACTTGACGCTCACAAAGGACGAAGCGGCGTATTCAGTGTACTGAGGCTTGGATCGCTCAAACACCTTCGAGCCATTCAATAAAGAGCTTGGCTTGGTCGCTTGAGGCATGACGGTCTGGACTCGCGTCTTGGTGATTACCTTGCTTGCGCATGCATAGGCACTGTGGCTCACGGCTATCGAAGCTACCGTGGCCGACGAGGCGGAGACCTGTCCAGCGGGAACGTTTGGCTTGGTGCTCATGGTGTGGGGAGCGTTTGGAACGACAACAGGTGTCCCTCGGGTAGAGGTGCCAGCAGATGGAGCTGCTGGAGGATTTCCGGCAGCGACAGTTCCGGCAGAGACAGGCGGGTTTTTAGTCGATGACACTTGAGAGCCGAGGCTCGAACCAGAACCAAAACCAGGCTTGGAAAGGCCGCCAGACAGAGTGGGATACACCACAGGACCAGTCCTGGCGGCACTGAGCTGGCCTGCTACCTGAGTGGACTCGGAAGCATCTGCCATGGATTGGCGAGCCTCTGTCGCTACTGATGCAGGCGCGGTTCTTGCCGGGGCAGATTCCAGGGTCTCACTATACTGCGCAGGGCAAGCAAGGACGGTCTCGACAACTGTCTCTGTCACCACGCGAACCTTGGCCTGAGTTGCGCGCTTGTTGAGAGAGTTTGTTGGACTGTAGGTGTTACCCTGCATCCAGCTAGCCACAACAGATCCGCCTTGGAGGATAGTGTTACCACGGATACCGGCAACGGCCACATTAGAGCCGGTGAAATCGACATTCTCGAGGATCAACACCCCGCCGCCGACAGGAATACTGTCCTGAGTGAACGCGGTAACAACGCCAGTGGGAGTATTGGTCACCGAGCTATCAAGCAGGAGGACGGAGCCAACTGTCTGGTTCTGAGGCGCGTTGGACATGTTGAGACCGACCTGGCAGTTGTTGATGGAGATGGACTTGAAGGTCCAGGCCCAGTTCCAGTTCATGAAGACAGCCGTGTTGCAGTCGTTGAAGATCAGGTTGCGGGTCGTGAATTGCTGGTTGCCCACGAACATACCGTAGTTGCCACCATTGAAGGTCAGGTCGGACATGAAACCGCCGGAGCCGTTGTCCATGAAGATACCTTGCTGCTTGTTGGCATCGCCGCCTCCCCTGATCATCTCGAAGCGGATGTTCTGCAAGCTGGTTGCCTGACCGACTTGCCAGTGGATACCAGCACCGGAACTCATAGGCATGGCCGTGAGGTCGATGACCAGGTTGCGGATGGCGCGGAAGAAATTGTTCTGGTTGGTGTACCAGTTGGAGCCGTCATTCTCGTACGGGTCGGCGTCAATCACCGCCATGCCTGTGAAGCCGGCGGACGCTTTGATCACAGGGAGATTAATGGCATCGCCGACGATTTGAGTGTAGTAGTACTGGATGATGGGCTTCGAGACAACATATGTACCGGGAGGAAAGTAAACCAGAGCGGGAGTCGTGGTAGAGGAATCGCACCCTTTTCCGCACCGGTTACCGGAAGATATTGCCTGGTTGATTGCCGCAGTATCATCGGTTACTCCGTCGCCTAGATTGTTGGTTAGAAAAAAAGTACCGTGGTCTCAATAGAAGGAGACTACCTTTGGCGCCAAAGTCCTTCACATTGCGGTAAACCTGATAACCCGAGCTCTGACCAAAAGCCACGGCGCCTTGCCGGTTGATATTGGCCACCCAGAAGCTTGACGCAGCATCTGTAGCAAGATTCGCTTGCAAATCGAGAGACTCCGGGGTAGGAACTGCATTGACAAGGCCTAGGAAGAGCAGTATCTGCGCCAGCAAGAGCACAATCGGGGTGCGAAGAAAGGCCATGTTCACTTCACTGGGATATGATCACTGAGCCAGCAATGATCGATGCAAGCAGCAAACAATTCTGATCAGCAACCAGTACTGAGAGTCTGCCTACGCCTTGTTCGTTGGCGCGTAGAAGATAAACGATTGGAGCGCGTATCAAGGAAAGACTGAGAATGCAAGGGAATATCAAAGAATGAAGGGAATAAAGTAAAGATGGAAAATGGAAGGAGAGACAGAACACAGCACCACACCACCAAAAGTGAAGGAAAGAAGGGAAGACAGCGACAGAAGAGACAGAAACAGGGTGAGAGAGAGACACCGAAGTGTTAATAATTAGAAAGAGGGACTAGATCAGTGCCGTGGTGAAGAGGGATAACTCCTCAGGCCAGAAACAACAATGAAGCCTAAATGAATGAATGGTAAGGTATAGCGATTGTCCCTTCTCAAACAAATACGGTCACAATACACCATTAAAACCAATAAGAGGCATTAAATGAGGGAGCAGGCCGCGTTTTGTTTTGAAATTACCTCTTATAGTTGAGGAATGAATAACAGCCAATCAGCGGGAGTCCTTGGGCAGAAGTCAACTGCCGGCGACCAATCAGATTAAAAGACGGCGGCCGTCCTGGTCGAGCGTGAAACGCTCCGACGGGCCGATGAAACGCTTCAAGCAGCAGAAATCGGTGATGGACTGAATGATCGACCCTTGAGGTTAATTCTCCACGGCTATAAATAATGAGCGCTCCATCGGAAGAAATTAAAGGAAGGACAAGCCTTGATGGCCTCGTTCCATTATCGGGAAAACGGAGATACTAACCTTCAAACTAGGTAGTGATTCGACCGAGTTGGAACTTGCAAGGGGAATAATGGTGACGAATCAAGAGTCAATCTTGGAAAGGAGAGGCCTCGACACGCTAAGAAAGAGAGCAGGGAGATGGGTACTTGCGAGCACAAGAGGAGAGGCAGAAGAAGGAGAAGCGGAAGAAACTCCTAGAGCAAAAGCAATAGATCCCTCCAGTAGCCTATATACCGTACGCAAATTCTAGGGTCTAGACAACATAGCTCGAAATCGTCCAGGACGACACAACCCACATACTGGCTACGAGTGAAGTTAAGACACAAATTCCTTTCTTCCCGGTTCTGGACTTCAGTCTCACCTGTCATTTCGACAGTTGCAACCATCTTGGCGAGGAATCGTCTGGTTGTACAGGCCGACAGCGCTTGAGATGAAGCGCGTGGACATTCCATGCTTGACACATTTCCTGCTTTGTCGCTGAGGACTCAACGATCTGCCCGATGATTCGTGTACCTGGCATCTGTACGTAGAATGACAAGAATCCTCACATAGCAGTCGAGACCAATGGCGCGTGCGGCGCGGTCTCGACGCGCAGATCAACGGCCCAGAGATCCACTTGGTCGTCAGGAGGATTCACTAGTTACTTGACTCGACATTCTTGAGTCGGGATCAAGTTACGTTGTCGCGGTTGACCCTTGAGACAGAATTCATAATACGTCAGCAGGAGGAAAAGTCTAAAGTCACGCTATCATGGGGGAGTCAGTTTTTCTTCATGGTTCGACTGCCCATCTTATGAGAAATATCGGCACTGCCTATGCGGATAAATCACGGGAGTCAGGACTACAGGCTACATAGAATACACTGCATCACGGCAGGTGGGTCCACCGCATTATCTAGGCCAGGAGCAAAGTATGTCTGCCTTGCTGCCTTGGCAACTCTGAAACGATCTATATAGGAATAGCATGATAGTTGCTAAATGCGAGCAGCGAGACCTGCATACGCCCTAAATAAGAGTCACTAATACAAGACTTGATCAAGGACGGAAGCGAAATCCATCGTTTCCAAGAGACCGACTCCCTCAAAATCAGAAAACAAGGAGACGTCTAAATCAGCAACGGAATCTACAGGAGAGGTTTCAGTTGCAGTCACCGCTTCGGGCGCGAGAATCTCGTCCATGAGGCGGGAAAAGACTCGAGTCGCTCGGCTGAAAAATGCGTTGTTGGCGGTGCCTGGTCCGGCCATTGATTCTAGATGAGAGATGAAGACACTCAGGTGCCGAACGAGAATGCCTCGAGGATAGAGGCTCGGTAACTGGTTTGTGCTGGCGTGCATTTGGAGCGCTTTGAGTAAAACACTCGCGCTGGGGAAGCCGTAGAGGAGAAGCTGCGACTGTTAGTCGCGTTGTTCGTGCAAGGCAATACCGAGGGGAAATGAATCGCCTACTGTCCAGATAAAGTCGCGATGGATATCAACAGCCCATTCCTGTTGTCTGCCAAAGGTCAAGACCGTTGAAAGGATGGTCGAACTCACGTCGACCAATGCAGTGCTATATTCTGTGCTGTTGAGAGCCAACAGCCGCTGCACAAGAAACTCATTGTAGAGAAACGCCAGGTATGAGACAATGAGCATGACCTTGACACTGATCGGTTGATGAGTGTTCCAGCAGTCCTCTGTATAGTGAAGATGACTAGGTACCGAATCCCAGGCCTGGCGGCCACGGCGGGAAACGTCTCTTCGTTTCACCATTAACCTTAAGCTTCAGGTCATGAGGAATCATGCTCACCTTAATTGCTCGTCCCGATGCTCGCTGGACTTTGTCAAGGACAGCTCCAAGATTTCCTCCCGAAACGTGCTGATGAGGAAGCGCAGTCGGATCCAGGCTGAACGCTGGTAGACAGCATGACAACTCCACCCTTCCGCCGTCACCGATTTTTGCGCAAGCTGTCTACTCCCAGTGAGAGCCTCATCGCTGATATCAAGAGGCAGGCGGCAATCAGAATGTCTCCACGAGATCCGGGGTGGTCGGCCCAAGAAGGTCGCAATGCTCTTGTCCAATTGATAGACAGCAGCGAATAGCCTGCGTCTGGACTCCAGCAGAAAGTCCGGAAGATCAGTGCGTTCATCCGAGTCCCGGTGCAAACCAAGCTCGAAAATGCATGTCGCGAGTTCACCTAGCCGATGCCAGGTCACTGAGCCTTTCACCTCGTCAGTCTTCTGCCTTCTTCACAGCTGACATGAACGAACTCACTCGAATGACCCAGGACCAACGTGGACAAAAGAAGATTTTCGTGGAGTAGCCAGAGCGTAAGGTCATTCACAGGCGATAGATATCTGCACGTTTCAAGTGCGGTATCACTCGCCGCGAGCATCCTGCGCGCAAAGTGTGAGGACAGGAGCTTGTTCTTCGGTCGCCCCAGTCCGAATTGGCTCGCTCGACCTGCCAAAGCATAAACAACCCCAAGTATCTCCAAACGCAGGCTAGAACCTGTGTAGAGCCTGTGGAAGTGCGCTCCGTCCACCGTAGGGGGGACACTGAATTTCCGCCTCGTGTTGTCAAGGACGGTTGCAACCAACGCCGGAATTTCTGTCTCCCCTTGATCCAGCTGGTACGCATGGTAGGTGTCCTGCATTTGGGAGAGTGCATTCAGGACGAAAGGCGCTGCAATCACGGCTGCCTGACTGACACCGTAGAATTCCAGTATCGATTGCTTGAGAGTAGGAAATTCCACAAGATGGCCAACGACCTCGGTAGCTCTCTTCACCCACCATCCTGGAACAGACGACGCCGCAGTGCTTTCATCAGCGGTAGGGACTAGCTCATTCGCACCGTCTCCTTCGCCCAAAACAGAAACAAAACTGGTCGGTCCCAAGTATCCCGCTGAGAGCAAATGGTCTGACCTCGAGCCCGACGACGACAAAGCCTCAGGAGACCCGCGGAGTTCGGATTGGGGCTCCGCAGAAGCATGCTGATCCTCAGTGAACCCCCGACTCCGCCTCATTGCCCGCGTCAAAGGCGCAGGATGATAAAAGCACCGACTGGTGCTGCCGCGCCGCAGACACCGGGAACAGACCGGATGCCCATGATCACACCGGACTTTGTCTTTGCGACATGGCTCGCAGGAGGCGGGCTTTCCATTCCGGCGGCGTGACGTCCTGCCATGGTCAATAGATGTTCCTTGTATTGAAAATGTGCAACTCACATAACAGCAGGTAGAATTCCTTGTCCGGGTACTATGGCTCGAGAGAGGACAGATCTTCCCTCGGGATCTGTGAATAATGCATCGTTTCAACTTGAGCCATCTTCTGGTTGTAGTCCAGCAGTAGTTTCGGCGTTCGGCGTTGGGAGGTGAATCCCTGTCGTCTTTATGCCGTATCGCAGTGAATGTCTCTAGGTAATGTAGTCATGTGACCAACACACGAACGCAAAGATTACAGCTTCTCAAGGTCTTCTTCCTACTGGAGTAGCTCGCCTGCATTTGGTTCAACCTCAAAATCTTGAATTTCAGAAAAGCGCTCCGCCAGAAGCCTCAGTTCAGGTCCAGACAGACTGCAACGACAGTACGCTGTAAGTATTCCGGGACTCGTTCCTGGTGGAACTAGGTAGCTTAGTTCTGACCATTGAGATCTACAGACTGTGGGGGATAACCAGTAACGCCAATCAGAATGGGCCTTCAGGAGCCACGGTGCCCCATCCCCCGAAACTGGCAAATCAGACACTGTGATTTTGCGATCTGCAACAACATCTGAAAGTACTCTTTCAGAGAAGCTCGGGAGGATGAGAGCCTTCCATCTGAAGATGAAGATATAGATACCGACGAGATGCCGGTGATCTACAGCCGTGAAATGAAGGATCCCAAGCTTCTGGAAGAAAATTGGCTTGACCCCATCTGGGTCGAAGGATTTGGTTACCCCGGACCAGTACCTCCCGAAATCCAGGAGTATTTGGCGTTCGACTGTGCTCGTAAGTTACTACCTTGACATATCTGGGGTTTTATCCTATAGCGGTGGTTCTGACTGAGTTAAACAGGCCTTTACTCGATGATTGGCTCCATCAGGAGCATCTTCTGGCTGTTCGGTCACAAAGAGTTGGTCAAAGTCATCGATGATCCAGCCTGTATTCTGGAGGATGAGATAGTCGCAGTCCCTCGCAACGCCAATCCAATGGGATTCTTGATGACCTACTATCCCGAGCTAGGCAAGATGCCGTTGTTTATTCAAGAAGTATACGATGGGGTACGTCTTCCTCCGTCGTTACATGTTGCGCCAGCCTTTCAGATCCCCGACGCAGTTACCTCAGAGCCATCCCAACATTGCATTGCGGACATATACCCATTTACCCGCCCCCAGACTTTCCCGGAGACCATCCTGTGTCTAAAACTCAAATGCGAAAGAGACCTTCACAAGACGGTAGGTCAGATCAGGAGGAAACTAGGCGGAAGCTTCAACATTGATAGTGACACGGCTTGGTTTCGGGGCCTGAACATGGTTCGGCTTACATTATCCATGAGCTCCTTTATACCTGTCACTAACCCCAACGCTCACGGGAATGAGTTTGGTCCAGGCATATATGCCGCAAAGGATTTCAAAACCGCGGCCAGCTATGCTCGACCAAGCGGTGCCATGATGGTTTTCAAAGATCCCGACCTCCGGGATCTCAATGTCTGGAGACCTGACCTATCTGATTGGCAATACCTAACGGCTCATTGGCTACAATTACCACTAGGTGATCTCAGAGTGCCAGAGAGCTACAAGCATGCGGATGTTATTATCGGACCACGCTCACTGAACCAGTCTGAAGCGAGGTCTAAGAAATGTTTTGCAAAACAAAGTGAAGACCTACAATTGGTTTGTACTAGCTATGATGGTTGCAAACATCTTGCTGCATCGTTGGTAGAAATCATCTACTTCACTGCCTAGGTTGTACCTTTACGGTGGAATGGCGCATGGATATTGTGAACATGCTGCAGCACTATCATTCCTATCATTCTAATTGCTTGGACCCCTTTTTATCTCAGTGGTTTTGAAACAGTCACAAAACATGGCCTTAACTAATGTACTATGAGATTACGACTTGTCCTTCGAGTGTTAGACGCTGGCGGCGGGTACCATCTGCAGGGCATGTATCTGAAGGATGAAGAGCAAAGTCTCTCCAAGAGAACCATAAAGCTGGTTGAGGAAGGCAAACTTGACGAATCAGAGCAGACCAGCATCAACTTTCCCTTTGAATCTAATGAGATCGAAGTCAATCCTATCGTTGCGGGAGTAACTGAGGTGTAATCGAACATTTTTCTACGCTGGCGCGGCCTTTCTATGCTCTTTATTGTTACTTAGCGCGGCATTGTACCACTTGAGGCCTTCGTATGATTCTAATATCTTTACGTAAATCATTTCAATTCGTAAATCGCACCCGCTCCTCATCGACTACTACCGAACAATTGAATTATATTGTCGATGATTGCATGGCGTTGCTATTAGACCGGGCGGTTAGGTGGAGATATAGAAAGGGTGGTGATTAGACAAGCTGTAACCATGAATCTCTACGGAGATATATAGATGACTGTTGATGGCTAGAGGTTCTACGAGTGGATGGACAAGGTGAATAATCAACAAGGATTTTCTAGGACCAGAGAGGATAGTATACATGCGGGCCGATCCGCTTTCAACCATGGTCACATCAACACTACGTAGAAATGGCAGTGGGTTCAACTAAAGCATCATGAATGACACATCCTAGCCGTCGCACTCCTTCAGCAAGTTGGTCCTCCTCAGACCATGCGAAACAAAGTCGCAGGAAATCATGAAAGTCGTTGCCTCGATCCGCCGTGTCCCCGGGGACTTGGAAAATGTCACCAGCAGCCGCCTTGACTTTCTGCTTCTCCAGAGCCAGTTGTACGACATCACTTGCGCGTAGCGGGCTCGGAAGACGCACCCAGATAAAGTATCCACCGACGATCTCGGAGGAATAGGGTAGTACTACGCCTAGAGGGAGAAGGTGTTTGCGGATAGCAGACATCATGACATGGTACCTGCGCGCATAGGCGGGCTGCAGGACCTCAGTTAGATGAGACTGGAAGGCCCCGTTGGCGAGCAACTGAGCAATTATCGTGGACGCCATTTGGGACGGGGACCCTCCGGACCGCGATGAACCTCTGCCAGATAATCAGCTTAGATAGTTTTATTCAAGGTCAAAATTACGAGGCAATACACTTGAGAAAGACCGTGGGCAAACTTGGCCGTGCCTTCTGCCCATCCGGTCCGCATGCCAGGGCCGAGCAGCTTACTGAAGCTTCCGTTACTGACGACGTTTCCCCATTCATCCCGGGGCCCTCCGTCCAGGTAGCGATCGATGTCTACCAACCGGGGCACGCGTGCCTTGTCGGGTGCAACAAGGGGGCGGTCTGGATCCACGGACCATTGGAGGAAATCGTAGACGTCATCTGTCACGATCAAGGCGTCGAACTCGCGCGCAAGCTGGACCAGTTTCTCCCGGTCGGATAGGGACATGGTCCGCGTCGTGGGATTAGAGAATGTCGGCGTGGCATAGATGAGATGTTTGTAGATTTTCCTCCATGGCCTCGGAGATTTATGTTTCTTTACAGATCAGTTGGTGGATGGAAGAGAGAGAGAGAGAGATCTGATATACAGTCGGTCTACCGTACCGGTTCTAATCTCTGCTCTTCATTAGCTTTCCGCTCGGCGACCTCCATCTCCCGGCGGAGATATTCAAGATCAAGCCCCGCGTCATCTTGCGGAACGGCTCTGATACGACCCGCGAAGCCGGCATCGTCCACTATCCGAGACGCCAGATGATATGCAGGCGCTACCATCCAGACATGTCTGGTGTAACTTGGGTCAGTGAAGACCTGGAAGATACATGCCAGATTCTGGCTGGCACCGCCAGTAATGCAGATCCGATCGAAACAAACCGGATCGCGTGGTTCGTAAAAGTGGGTCAGCCATTCAGCAACACTCTTTCGAAGGGGCAGATAGCCATCATCAGGACCGTACAGCAGGGCCGGGGTCCGGATGGACGGTGTGGACAGGACGGTGGCGGATGCTTGGGCCAAGGCCGTGGTGGGCAACAGGGCAGGGTTAGGCCAGCCTTTGAAGAGATCGACTGGCTCTTCGGCGGGAATAAAACCCATGTCGACAGTTGTCACTTGCCACTTGCCAGTATGTGTACGGAGTAGTTAACTTTAACCATGTATGTGTCGGTGACTCGGTTTCAGTCGATGACCGTTGGTGTTGAAAATTTCAGTGTGGAAGGACAAGGACACGTCAGTCTGGTGACGTTGGCCGCCGCCATTTTGACATGACTGAAACAGAGGAATACGCATGCCTTCCCTTCAGTATCAGTCTTATTTGGATAGCTTACGGCCAGGTACGTTCAATATGAGCGATCGTGAGACTAGTAAGGACTTATCTACGCCTAATCTACTCCTGTTATTGTGGTGGATTGTCCGTTGAAGCACCACAGAAAAAAACATCCGGATGACTTGCAGAGTCCGGGTGTGGGGGAATACAGTACCCTTACCACGGCTGACGAACTGTTACCGATTCCGGTCGGGGATTCCAAACATATTTCTGCCACTGCGGATACCAGCCATGGCTGAGCATCCATGTTTATGTAGGAATGCTCCGTTAACTGATTATGATGGGTCATATCAAATCAAACCAAACAAACAAGACCAACTAAGGGACCCAAACTCCTACAAACACAAGTGTATTCCTGTACATTTGACTGGCAATGACGACTGGCGCCAGCAAAATTGCCGCAGTTGAGGTACGCTACGGATCTTTCCAAAGCCAAGCGGCAACAAACCAATCAAAAAGAGCCCGGCAGGTGATACTTCTATTCTTAGCAGATCAGGTACCTTAGTATACTCCATAAGGATTCCCGCCGACTGCCCCTGAGCCTCACCAAGGCTACCATATTTTATCTCAGCATCACTAGAAAGCGAGCAGAGAATACGTACATGTTGGGAGACTATACGAAGACCATTGGTCATTATCAATAATAACAACGCGTAGAAGCAAAGTGTGAACGCCTCAATGACGAGTGTATAATTTGCTTGGGTAAAAGCATCTATACGAGGCGGAGTCCTAACCACGCATTGGCATTCCAGCCAAAAATGTCAATTTACCGGATTATGTGGGTTTGTCTCTCGCTGACATTTCGTTCCAGGAGAAATCTGATAATCAGTATCTATCCGTGTCAAAATGCCAAATAAATTGCAAACAGTTTGCCCCTGGCGGCTGGCATCACCATCGACGCGTAGGCGGCTGTATGGTTCATACTTGCATTAGACATGGCGCAGGGTGGCATTTTCCACAGTGCTCGTTTAGACCCAAATAGCATAGAGGCATGCTTCTTGACGAACAAATAGAAAAAGGATGAACAGCTTTACCGATCATGATGGAATCCAACGTTGGAGATATTCTCAGCCATGCTCAAGTATTTCAGAAGACAGACAGGATCAGATGAGATGAGACCAGAGTCGTCTGGTGATCCTGAGGGCTGTACTCGGCACAGCTCATCAGGAGGCGGAGGCATCAACATAAATCACATTGACTGTTTAAACGGTCATTGTCGATATCACACCGTTTTCAGACACAGCCCTCTCCTGATCTCAAAGCTATCCAAGACTAGAGTTGTTAGGCAATCATAATTACCGTAAAGCCGAGAAATCCAAGAGATTCCCCACCCGTAGTTACTAACTAAGTAGAGCTAGAGACCTGCAGTAGTCCGGTACAGCCATGATCCATCATAAGAAAGGATTATTAAGTAGAAAAAAAGTAGTAGATAAAAAAAATGTAAATAATATTTCCAACAGCATAAAATAATGATGAAATCGTTAATTCCGAGCTCAAGGGTCTCGAAAAGAATGAGAAATCAAAATCTTTTCCTCTCCCTCCCCTCGTCTCTTCTCTCAACCCACTGGCTGCTGCTGTACAACTTCGCGAGCATCAAGTCAAGACAATAATCAATGCTCTCCATGCTCCACCATATGCCAGCTTAGTGCCATACATTCGTCATATCACTCCTTAGTCTTCCAAAAACCTCGAGCAGAACCAAGGTACTACTTGGGTCAATCAGATCCTTGGCCAAGCGCAGCTGGCAAGTATCTAACAGGTAAAGTCTAAGTTCTGATCATTCCTCCTTTGATCCCCTCCTGCCGATCACATTCCCCAAGACACACGCGCCAGAGACAACCACTCTGTCTGTCGCTCTCTTCCTTTACCCGTACTCGTCCCTCGTTTCTTCACTTTCCTAAACCGTCCTTTTGTATGGTTTAGTCCATTCTTTCGCATGGTTCGCGATTGAGTCTTACCTCATCTGCTGTCTGTCTTGCCTTCCCTTTTTTTGTGATCGTCTTTCGAGTACATCCACTCGCCCGCCGCTGTCCGACTCTCCAACTTACCAATTGCTTTATTGTACAGCGAACCCCTAAGATGTTGTCAGCTCCTGTAAGGTCGGCCAAGCGCATATCGTCCCTCTTTTCATTGGGGTCAAACAAAGATGGTTCTCTCTCTTCATCACCAGTCTCTCCGAGCTTGCCGAAGCACTCGCCCGACCAATACCCGCAGGATGTACAGCAACGCCCGCGGAGCAGCTCCCGCCCCGCGCGATTAGTGTCCAACCCTCAGTCCGACTATTCAGATACCCGGAGCATCAGAACGACAGGTCCCATCGATCAATTCGACTTGGATGAGCCTCTCCCTCCGCCTCCATCGCTCCTGGCCGTGAACCAGGATCTTGCCAACAGCGTCAACAATTCCCCCGATGGCAGACCGCAGAGCAGAGGCAGACCCTCCAGCTCGGGGGGGTTATTCGTTCCCGGAACTGGACCGGATTCGCGCCCGGGGACCCCTTCGAAACGACGGAGCTGGATCCCGGGACGAGCGCGAGCGAGCTCTGTAGATGCTAGACCCCAGACTACAAATGTTAAGATGCCGAGTGCTTGGATCGCCGGGTTGGATCAGAAGATCCTGTATGATGTGGGCCCTTTGATCAGGGGCGAACAGGTATGCCCGCTGTCTGTTCCTACTCTTCATCCTCGAGATTTGGGCTCAAGTCCGCTAATTCTGCGTGCTATCATAGGTTCCGGAATTGTGGAATGACAGTGGTGACACCTACGTCTACCTGTTCCCCCAAAACACGGGACGGTCACCCTCGTTCAGAGTCCATTCAACCATTTTCGCTGAATCACCGTCCCTCACATTCCTTGCCCGGGGCACAGACCCGAACAGAGTTAACGACCTGGAGCAACAAGCACGCTCCATGTCATTGAGTAGTCCTATGACCGGTCCTGCCTCACCTCCCCTGACTCCTCAGGACCAATACGCCGACGACGATAATGACAGCACCGGCAGTAGGCGGATGGCCTTTGTGGATGATGAGGGGTTGGACGAGTTCCAAGAGCTTCATCTGTACCTTCCAATTCCTCTGAACAGCGATTTGTCCAGCCCCGACAGTCAAATTTCGCCAGAGGACACCGAGACTCTCCTTTTATTCCGCAATCTCTTCGCCTTCCTCCTGGGCCAATCCCTGATCGCTACTCCCCGGTCACCCACGCTCTTCTCGATCTTCATGGACGTGGCCAGTCTGCTGTCTCGCTTCGAGTTCAGCAATTTTGACGGAACGAATTTCGGCGAAACGGCCACTAGCAGCTTCAGCAACTACTGCGACGAACTGCACCTTGACGATGTTCGGAAAAGCCGAGAAAAGACCATTGAGGCCATCGTGCTGGGAGAACGTCTGCGCTTCTTTCCACTGTATCTCGAGGGCTTCGTCCACGGTGTCGGTAAGCTGGACGAGCTGAAGCAGCTGCGGAGTCCCAAGTTCAGTCTCATCAGCCCCGTCACCCAGAAACGGATGGAACGTGGCTTCATCGACCTGGATACTCGCCTTCGAGTCTTGCATAGCAAACTGAACGAGTTTGATTTCCCTTCGGTGTTCTCCGGGGTGGCCAACTCGACTACGTCCGCGGAGAGCAAGGTCGTTCGATTCAAGCTCTGGAAGGCCGCATTTATGGAGTTCAGACGGTTTACCGTGCACTACTACCGACAAAAGTACGGCTCATGGCCACCAAAGGCCCGGTCGAAGAAGAACCAATTTGAAGAGAGCGGGCTCAACCGCCAGGTCTTGAAGGACCTGTACGACGACTTTGCCAATCTGTACGACATGTTGGTCGATCGGACCGCCCTGACCACCCGAACTGTGGACATGGCGGCCCTTGAAACGGTCGGGTCGGAAGACACGCAGGAAATCATGCTCCGTGCCCTCCGCCAGGTGTTGAGTGAGTACGACCGGGCCACGCCGCCGGTTCAGCCACCTATCCCATTCGACGTTCCCCAGTTCCCGTCGTTGGACTCGCTGCAGCTGAAGGCTGTGGACCCCAAGAAGGAGGCCAAGCGAAGGGCCAAGAAATTGAGAGACTCTGACATCAATGCCGTGCTCATGGGCTCGTACACGCGCGAGAGTATGCGGCCGACCCCGTTTATCGAAGCCTTTATGCAATTCGAACGGCGCTGTGCGCACGGCAAGAATGTTGAAGATCTCATCGATCTTCGCTGCGGTCAGTGGATCTTTCTCTACTGTGTGATCCAAGCTCTACCGCTGCTCGTCGTTGATGTACAGGATGTCAAGTACACCGAGGGCGTGGAGTATCTGCTGTGCATCGCACCCCGCGGTGGTGCACCCTGGATCCACAACGATGGCAAGACAGCACGGAGCTGGTTTGGTGTTGCCGGCGGAGCTGGGGTGGTCAGCCTGCCCTCGGACGTCGTGGTCAACGGCGTCGAGGGTATCTACCGCCGCAGTCATTGCTGGCAGGTCGCCGAGCAATGGGCCGAGAAGGACGCCATTTTGGGGCCTCCGACCATCGAAGACCCCTATGACAACGAATCCTCGCTATCTTCGCCCTACCAGGGACAGCCGTCGTCGGGCGGTTCGTCCACTGAGCAAACCCAGCAGCCAACGCAACTCCTGGGTCCCAACGGTCTCACACCACCACCGCCTCCGGTGATTCCTCGCACCAGCTCACCCGCTGCGCGAGCCCGAGCCGAGCATCGCCATTCCATTTATCCGGGTCTCGAGGCCCTCCCGTTGCCCGCTGGAGTTGCGCCCGTTGATCCACCGGCGAGGCCCGTCAGCCGGTTCAACCCCAACATGAGCTTCGATGATATTCTGAAGCAGGTTCCCAATCAAAGAGCAAAAAAATGAGAACCCTAATAGTTCGTGTACAGAGTCCGGGAGAGAACTCCTCCTTTGCCATGTTTCTGCTCCTGAAGCATTGAATTCACTTCATCTGATCTGCATTACTACTTGTCCGATTCCCATATCACCCTTGTCCGGTCTGCATTCCCGCCTCATTCACTGCTTTATTCCGTCTCTGTTTGTCCCTTTATTGTTCATTAATCATTCATGGAGTGCACACATTTTACAAGGACCAAAACGGAGGGGCCGGCGCAATATAAGACTGGGAACTCAACCAAATTATGAGGCGAACTTCGCTCAAGAAGCATGTGTGATATCATAAACAATTGAACGGAGGGTTAATAGGTTTGGCCCTGATCTCCTATACTGGTCCTCCTATACTGGTCCTCGGATTTTGCGTCATCTTTCGGGTCCCCTATTTTTCTTTTCCGACTTGTCATCCTATGGAATCACTTTTTAGACCGACCGGGGCCGACCACCTGGTTTGATGTTATTTAAGAAGAGACGGATAGAGATAATATGCCCTGATGGGCGATAATGTAATTGAGGGACCTTTGGTCTTGTGCGGAGATTTGATCTACCTCTTATCCTTGTCCGGGACATCTCCTGTATTTCCCTCCCACTTTCAGACCATCAACCATCGGCAATTGCCGTCGTCTTTGTTGAATCGGGTCTAGATATACTGTACTCAGATCGCTTTTTAATCTTACATTCAAAGACACAGCTTGAATCCTGAAACCTGCACCGATGCATAATTCCCGGGCAACTCAGATCAGCTGTCGATCCACCAACACAAGCCATCCGATTTTTCCTATTTCGTCTTAAAAGTCCGGTCCTCTTCCATCTCTCTAATCTCCTGATCTACTCTTGTCTATCAGATAATAAAGATAACAAGAGTCCAGACCGCTTTGGCTGCCACTGGCTGCGGACGATGTCTCAGTCGTACTGCAGCCCGCGGATGATCGTGATGCGACCAGCTGCAGCTAAAATGTGTCCGGCGATTCTTAATTTATCGACCTCGTACCGCGCGGACTTGTGGCTGAATTCGGTTTTTAATTTCGTTTCAGCCCCTGATGCTCTCTGATTCCAAAATTTTCACCTGTTTCCTCCGCGTCTTTTTTTTGTCCTGTTCGACCGGGCTGGGTTACTCCGTACAGCTACTGAATACTCCATACCAAGATTGTCATCAAGTGGCTGTTTACGATACGCAGATTGATCGATTTAGGATGGAATAAGAAATAGGAAAGAAGCGGAACAGCTGCCATGTCACGGTCGCGCTCCAGCATCGCCAGCGACAGCCACGACCGGCTCGAACCCCACCTGCTCCGCGCCGTCGAGCAGGACGACCTAGAAAGGCTCCGGCAGATTGTGCACCTGGCCCGCGAAAATGGGCAGTACAGCGACAATTTCCTCCGCGTGGGCCTCATGCGCAGCTGCGAGCGCGGATCCATCGCCACGACGCAGTACCTGCTCAGTCTCGGCGCGAAGACCGAAGTCCCCAGCAACCGTGTTGCGCCGCTGCTGCGTGCCGTCGAGCACAACCATGTCCGGATCGTGCAGCTGTTACTGGATTACGGGGCGTCGACGGAGACGGCGGATAGGAAAGGGCGGACGGCGCTGATGACGGCTGCGTGGAGGAATCACTGGCATGTCTTGCAGTTGTTGATATCGCGCGGGGCGGACGTCAATGCGAGGGATCTGCGCAAGAGGAATGTCTTGCATAACCTGGCGGCGGATAAGCAGTGCGATTGGGGCGAGGATGTGATCGAGCTTCTGCTGGGGACGGGGTGTGCGCTTGACGGGGCGGATGGGCGCGATGAGCTGGGCCGGACGCCACTGCATTGGGCATGTGCGACGGGGAAACTGCGGGTCGCGGAGCTGCTGCTGACACGACGGCGGGGCCCGATCGCGGATGTCAATGCCGTCGAGTTGAGGAACAAGACGTCGCTGCATATCGCGGCAGCGCATGACAGGGAGGATATGGTGCAGCTGCTGCTCAAGCACGGGGCGGACATCGAGGCCCGGAGCGATGGAGGCTGGACGCCGCTGCACAATGCCTGTGACAAGGGCTCGGTGGTGATCGTGCGGTTGCTGCTGCAGGCTGGGGCCAAGATCAACGCGCAGTTGTTGAACGGGGTCACGCCGCTGCATCTGGCCGCGCAGGCAGGTCACCGCGAGGTCGTCGAGTGTCTGCTCGAGCGACCGGACCTGAAACGCCGTGTTCGGGACAACTTCGGGAGCACCCCGTTCCTCCGGGCGGCGCAGTTCAAGCGGAAGGACATCGTGCTGCTCCTGGCGCCGTTCAACAATATCGATGCGCTGTCGGAGGATGCGCGGGGCGCGTGCGAGGCCTTTGATGCAACGGTGGTTGACTTTGGCAACTTTCACAACGAGAACAGGGTCCAGAAGACGTCCGTGTTTAACCTATTGTATGGGCGGGACGCAGAAAATCCACGCAAGCAGGCGTTCAGCACCATCCCAGCGGACAGCAAGGCGACGGATTTTCGGTGGATCCATCTGCCCGCGAACAACATGGCCTGGGTGGAGGCGTTGCTCACCAAGTCGTTTATCGAAGAAGGGGCTCACGATGTGGACAGCTTCAAGGGGCTGGAGAGGTCGTTCAATTACCAGCACCGCGGACAACGGACGCACTCCCATTTCATGCGGCCGCTGTGTCAGAGCACCCCCCGAGCGCGCTCTTTTCGTGAGGATGAGCGTCCCAAGGATGAGCGACCCAAGGAGAGTGCAAAGACAGAGCTGCCCACAATCGTTGTCAACGGGAACGATGACCATTCCAAGGCCAAGAAATCAAAGGTCCAGGGGATGAAGCTTGAGCGGACGGATACCTGTTCGCTTGATGATGGGTTCAGCAGCTCGCAGGGCAAGAAGGGCAAAGGGACGCCTAAACGGGGCAAGACTGGGCCCGCGCCCAAGAGCGACACGAAGGGCAGTAAACATTCATCKGCGCAGGATGAAAAGCGTCGGGCGCCCCTATCACTGTGCAAAGACCCCTCGCTGACTCCGGCCTGCAACGTGTGCGTGTTCATGCCTTATTTGCACTTCGAGACGGCAGAGCGTAGGCAGAAGATGCAAGAGGCTATCCAGCGAGCCGAAACACTCAGCTTTCAGAGCCCGGGGATCTCGCGATCGTCTACAAGGGACGAAATGCTCCTTAGTGCTCATCTGGCATCGTCGACGACGTCTCTCCATGTACGACGAACTCTGGACCAGTTCTTCTATCCGAACATCGACACGCAGAGTCGCGATCAGGACCAGGTGATCTACCGCTACCAGACCAAAGGGCAGGGCCGCGATCGGTTCCGGTCGGATCCCAAGATCTTCATGGTGGACCAGCTGTGGATGTGGATCCTGGGAACGAACCTCATTGTCACGAGCTTTGCGCAACGGTGGGACCAGCCGAAGAACGACCCGCTCAACGTCCTGGATGGCATTATCGAGGATATCAACTCCAAGACGCGGGAGCCGGTCAGGTCCGTCTACGACCTGGCGATCATCATCACCAACCGCTGCTCGGGGGTGTTCGACCGGCACCGTATGGGAGACGAGGAATACCAGTTCCTGGACATGTTCGAGGCGTCGATCGGCGTCGCTACGGACCGTGAGACGCTGCTGTTCAACATGTTCAACCGCGCCTCCGCGCAAGCATCGGACTGGCTCAAGAACCACCGCAAACTGGGCCGGTTTGCGCGCAGCGCAGACAATGCTAAAGGAAAACAGTTCACGGAGGACGACGAGCAGCCGCTCTTCGTGGACAACCTCCTCGACATCGGGCAGGAGACGGATCTGCTGGCGGAAGCCAAGGACATCCGCGACGAGCTCAACATGATCCGCACGGTGCTGCAGCACCAGCAGCACATCCTGGACGACTTCCAGGAGGTGATCTGCGAGATCTACCACGGCCAGCACCGGTCGCAGTACGAGGTCAAGAAGCGGTTCAAGGAGCAGCAGCGCACGATCGACATGCACCTCAAGGACATCGACCGGATGGACAAGCAGGCCGAGCGCATCTACTCGTCCATTACGGACCTGCTCGACCTGAAGCAGAAACACGCCAACGCGTTCGAGGCCCGGTTCGCGCGCGACCAGGCGGCGGGGACCGCCCGCCAGGGCAAGACGATCATGGTTTTCACTATTGTCACCATCATCTTCCTCCCGCTGTCGTTCATCACATCCATTTTCACCATCAACATCAAGGACTTCCAGGAGCTGCATCTGTCATATGTGGCCAAGTATACGTTTGGCATCGGCTTTGCCATTTCCATTCCGTTGATTCTGCTGGCGCTGTCGGTCGACGATATCAGCTATGTCTGGCAGGAGGCGATGCGACGCATTCGACAGGGGATGTCACATGGGCAGAAGAGCACAGATTATCAGCTGGACGAGGCCACCGTCGAGATGGAGAAGATTATCAGCATGAGCAAGGCGCGCCGGAGCATGGACACGCGCTATGCAGGGAGTCTTTTGCCTGTTTCGACTCGCGGGAGTCGTCCTGCTTAATTTCCAGTTGATTGGCACGACTAATGATTACGAGATATGACCTATACTAGCTACTCAGTTAGATTAATAATTGATGCATTTCGTTACGACCACATTGGGATATGCCGCTAGAGAATACTCTGACGAATTCACATGAAGAATCTGTCCTCCCTTCGTCCTGGTCAATCATCTAGGCATTGCAGAGATCAATCTGAGTCCGACGATTCCATGTGCTTACGCCGTCGGAAGGGAATCAGATCTCCCCGTCCTCTTCCGCAGCACGCGGACTATCCAAAGAGGAACCCGTGATCGATTCCCTCCTGAATCTGCAGAACGGATCGTTTCCATCCGATATACTAGTAATAGATGAAACATCGTCCTTGTGATCTCCGAGACTCCGACCAGAAATACTAGCCTGGATTTCCCGAATCCGCACGATCGGCCCGGGTGGAACCGGCACCTACTGGCGCTGTGTGCAGTGCGGACTGTGACTGTGCCTCCCCGGCTGCAGCGCATCGATACTGAATGTTGCTCGGTGAGAGAAAACGATGTCTATCTCTTCGATTTTCACGAGGAGATACGCTACTCAATTGACACTTGACTCTGGGTCAGATCCGCGTCCTTCCACGGTCCGTGGATTTGGCGCGGACATGAGTGAGGTCATCGTTTGTTCAGACCCGGGTTTCACCGTGGGAGTCGAGCTGCGTAAAAGCTACTTTGATAAATAAAATGAAAAAACATCCAGGCAGTCATAACAATGCAGGTCTAGCATTGCAATTGTCTTGTCCAGCAGTATGAAGCCCGCGTCATCTGCGGTTCTGCATGGGAGCAGACGTCACACATCATGGATGCTAGTGCTACAGCGGAAATCAATACGGACCATCCGGAGGTCCCTAGCAACACAAGTCGAACAGTCGACGGCCTTCGCTGACGAAAGCCAAAGCCACAAAGGCAAAGAGCGGGTGGTCATCCTGGGCTCCGGCTGGGGAGGCTACAGTCTCTCGCGGCGGCTCTCGCCGAGCAAGTTCGCGCCGCTGATCATCTCGCCGCGGTCGTACTTTGTCTTCACGCCGCTGCTGACCGACGCCGCGGGCGGCTCGCTCGATTTCTCGAATATCGTGGAGCCGGTCCGGGACCCCAAGGCGCGGGTGGATTTCATCCAGGCGGCGGCGCGCGCGGTCGACTTCGACCGGAAAACAATCCTCTGCGAGGCGACGGTCGTCAAGAGCGGGGTGACGGAGTCGCCGCGGATGGACGAAGCAGGGGGCGTGATCAGCACGATGGCGAAGCGAGGATGGGAGACGGGGGAGACGTTCTCGCTCCCGTACGACAAGCTAGTCATCGCGGTGGGGACGGTCACCCGGACGTTTAACACGCCGGGGGTGCGCGAGAACGCGCTCTTCTTCAAGGATATCGGGGACGCGCGGCGGGTGAGGCGGCGGGTGCGCGAGTGCTTTGAGCTGGCGGTGCTGCCGACGACGGCGCCCGACATGAAAAAGTGGCTGCTGCACTTTGCGATTGTGGGCGCCGGGCCGACGGGGACGGAGCTGGCGGCGTCGCTGCGCGATTTCATCTACCGCGACCTCATGCGCCTGTATCCCAGCTTGCAGGGAATCCCGCGCATCACGCTGTATGACGTTGCGCCGACGGTGCTGTCGATGTTTGACGAGCGGCTGGCGCAGTATGCGATGGAGACGATGAAGAAGGAGGGGATCACGATCAAGACATCGCATCATGTGGAGGGGTTGCGGTGGGGGGAGCCAGGTGCCAAACCGCCGTACGAGATGGATCCCAAGCGGTGCCTCACGCTGACTACCAAGGAGGAGGGGGAGGTAGGCGTGGGCATGTGCGTGTGGTCAACGGGCAACAAGATGAATGAGTTTGTGCGAAACTCGTTGGAGGACGTGGATGTCTTTCCCTCTGCCTCGGCGGTGGTCAAGGGCGAGAAGACGGAGAAAGAGAATTCCACCTGGAAGGTCAAAAAAGGCCCAAACGGCGCCCTGCTCGTCGACGGCCAGCTACGTGTGCAGCTGGCCAGTAACACCGGACAGACAGCCGTCCTCCGAGACGTCTTTGCCCTCGGCGACAACGCAATGCCTGAGACCGGGGCGCCCCCGGCGACAGCGCAGGCGACCTTCCAGGAAGCCAAGTGGCTGGCGGCGCGGTTGAACGCGGACGATATCGAGAAGGCGCCGCCGTTCTCGTTCCGGAACATGGGCACGCTGGCGTACATTGGGGATGCGAGGGCACTGATGCAGCTGCCGCACGAGGACGGCCAGCGATACAAGTACCTCCCTCATGGATTGACGGGGCGCATGGCGTGGCTGGTGTGGAACTCGGCGTATCTGACGATGAGTATTAGCTGGCGGAATCGGCTGCGTGTGGCGTTTCGGTGGTTGTTGAACAATTTGTTTGGACGGGATGTATCTAGATATTGATTTAGCCATAGGGTTAGTATTAGTATTCTTAGACTTGTCGTATTCTCTACCTCTCTACCTCTATCAAAAGACTTCCTTGGACAGCCGAGGCAGAAACTCTGCCGTCTCCGCTCCCCGCACTACGCATCTCCGCAATTCACTAATACAAAAGAATGATCCACAGCGTCAGACACTTCGACATCCACGCACATTGTATATATTGTATAACCTATAAAAATGGCCTACGCAACCATCTCCCAGCGTAAATTGGCCGAGTTGGACGCCAAAATCCCCTCCGAATGGAGACTGTCAGAGTCTCAGATTCCGCCAGGGATGCTCTCCCCCGCGGAATCCATCACCAACGTCAAAGAGTACGGCCGAGTCAGCGTGATGGACATCCCTCGAACCTGCGGACTACTTTCTGGCCACGAGCTCGAAATCACAGAACAGTATGACGTCCGCGAATTGCTGCGCGCCATGGCCGACAAACGCCTCACAGCCGAGGAGGTCACCACCGCTTTCTGCAAGGTATGCACACCTCTCCTTCCAGCCCAGACATCCACTAAAGGAAGCAGCGAGCAGCCATCGCCCACCAACTCACCCGCTGCCTGACCGAACCGCTCTTCGACCGCGCCGTCCAGCGCGCCCGCGACCTAGACGCTTACCTTCGTCGCACCGGCCGCCCCATCGGCCCCCTACACGGCCTCCCCGTCTCCGTCAAGGACTGCTTCCACATTAAAGGCGTCGATACCAGCATCGGCATCGCAGCGCTCGTCTCCCGCCCCGCCACCGAAGACGCACCCCTCATCCAACTCCTCACCGCCCTGGGCGCCATCGTCCTCGCCAAGACCAACGTCCCGCAGACCATGGGCGCCCTCGACAGCGCCAACTTCGTCTTCGGCCGCACGCTGAACCCGCTGAACCGCGCGCTCACCGCCGGCGGCTCCTCCGGCGGCGAGGGCGTGCTCGTCGCGCTGCGGGGGTCCATGGTTGGCTTTGGCACGGATATCGGCGGGAGTATCCGCGTGCCGGCGATGTGTACGGGCGTGTACGGCTTCAAGCCGAGTGTTGGACGGGTGCCCTTTGGCGGGCAGGAGAGCGGGCAGATCCCTGGTAAGGGGCGGATGGCGCTGCAAGCTGTTGCGGGCCCGATTGCGCGGTCGGTCGCGGATCTGGGGGCTGTGATGGCGGAGATTGTGCCCCGCGCGGAGCTGTTCGGCGAGGACTGCATCCCTGGTTTGTGGGCGGGGGAGTTCCCCCGTTCTGGACTTGGGTCGGGGCAGAGGAGGAAGGTGACGATCGGGGTGCTCCGGTCGGATGGCGTCGTGCAGCCGCTTCCGCCTGTGGCGAGGGTGCTGGATGAGGTGGCGCAGACGCTGCGCCGGACGCCCGGCGTTGAGGTGGTTGAGATTCCAGTCCTGCCGGCGCTGTCGAAGTGCCAGGGTCTCGCGGGCCGGCTGATGGGTGTGGATGATGGATCGGCCATGCTGGATCTGCTGGAGAGTACGGGGGAGCCGTTGATTCCGTGGCTGCAGGGCCGTGTGAAGCGCGGCAAGGCGCTGAGCGTGGTGCAGTTGGCGCAGCTGCAGGCGCAGCGGTCTGCGGTTGAGAGGGAGCTCTTGGGGATGTGGATGCGCGACGGCGACAGGCTGGCGGGCCGGCAGGTCGACGCCATCATCCACCCCGTGGCGCCGCATCCGGTCCCGGAGATCGATCGGTATAATGCTGTGGGATATGGGTCGTCGTTTGTGCTGCTGGATTACCCGGCGGGTGTCATCCCCGTGCGCAAGTTCCGCGAGGCGGATCTGGAGCTGGGCAAGGAGATGACGGCGCCGGTGCTGGGGAGCTGGGACAAGGCGAATCGGCTGTTGTGTAAGTCACTTTCTTCTTGCCCGAGAATTTCACTGATCTCTGTAGGGAACGAGAAAACGGTGGATCGGCGTGTATACCTCGACTCTCCGCTGAGCATTCAGGTCGTAACGCCCAAGCAGCATGACTACGAACTCTACCGGGCCATGGAGCTTATTGACCGAGCAGTGCGGGCAGAGGAGCACAAGACAGTGGCCAAGCTGTAGCGATGTAGTTGTATATAATCATTATCTACATGACAGATTTATAGTCTCCCCTTCAGCAGGGCTCCTCCGTCCGTCACAATCACAGCCCCATTCAAATGGCTGGCTGCACGGCTAGACAAAAACACCACCAGCCCAGCAATATCCTCCGGTTTGCCTAGTCGCCGGTTGGGCGAGTGCTCCTCCATCTGCTTGATGCCTCCCCGCATCTCAATCAAGCCATTGGCCATCTTGGACGGGTAGAAGCCAGGGGCAATCGCATTGCACAGGATGCCCCGGGGTCCCAGCTCAACCGCCAGGTTCTTGGCCAGGTGAATCACGGCCGCTTTGGAGGCGGAGTAGGCAAAGGTGGCATTCTCGCCGAGAGAACCGACCCCGATGCCGGCGACGGAGCCGGTGACGATGACGCGCGAGGGCGAGTCGCGGGTCGCTTTGACCGTGAGTAGGGGGGCAAACCTGTCCATAGCTTAGTTTAAGTTGATATACACCGGGAAAAAGGGAGACCTACTTCTGCACCAAATAAAACACACTCTTCACGTTCAGATCCATCACCTTGGAAAAGGCAGGTTCGGGATACTTTTCGAACCGATCGCCCCAGGTAGCGCCCGCGTTTGCAAAGAGAATATCTATATGGTCTGTTGTCTTCTTGACCTCGGCGACAAGTCGGTCCAGGTCGTCCATGCGCGCGTTATCGGCAGGGACGGCAATGGCCACTGCGCCGGGACGTTTGTTGGGGAGGGCATTTAGAGCGGCAACAGCCTCATCGCAGGCTTTGGCTTTGCGGGAGGTGATGTAGACCTTTGAGCAGCCCGCTTGGAGGAGGCTTGACGCTTGTCAGGATGCATATCAATGGTTTGGAGAAGGTAGTCAGACGTACCCACTGGCCGCATGGAGACCGAGGCCTCTTGAACCGCCGGTGACGACAGCGACTTTGCCATCGAGGGAGAAGATGGACTCAAAGTTATCGAGACGGACTTGATCTTCAGCGGACATATTGATAGATAGATAAATAGATAGATAGTGATGATTTGATTCAGTAGTAAATGTTTTGAGATGAAGAGCTCTCCATGTTTATAGCATTAACCACAGCTTCCCCACGTTTGGAGTGTTTTGGACCGACTGGCCGAGGTTCGGCAGTCAGATGGATTATTTGATCAGGGGAAGCCATGATTGGTAAAGAATGTGTGAAGTAAACTTAAGAGTAAACAAGATGAAACTGAGCCATCTTGATAAGATGAAATTGTTGATATGGAGACTATTCAAGACAATGGAGATTGAGAGAAATGAGAATACGAGCCTAAGGCAGACAGCAGGGTGTCTTTGGTTTCCTCAGGCATCAATCTCCGTATGGCATCATGAGCAACAACTTACCTTCATCTCATTGAACCACCTGAACTAAGGACAGTCAATTACATTCAACCAATGCCTGATCAGCAATTGCAGCTCATTGCTGTAGGTAGAGAGGATGAGGGAGTGAAGAACCAATCACACAGCTGGATTGCTCATAATCTGCTCATTTGTGCTCTAGATCCCAAGGTCCCCCAGCAGCTCTACTCCAGTTATTCTCTCACCCCTCGCACAGCCTTGGTTCCCCGATGAGCTCTTCATGACGGTGAGGACCTTGATGATGATGACGCTCAGGTAGCTTAGCTTACCTTCTGTCCCCTCTTCTCTTCCTCTTCTCATCCTCATCCTCACCATCTCTCTGCCTCTACTGTCAGCCCTCACAGCTCTCACAGCACTATAGCACTACACAATGGCAGCCAAGTACAGCCTCCCGCCCCTTCCGTACGCCTACGATGTAAGTTCACCCCTGTGAAAGTGACATGGCAAACAGACTAACAATGCAGGCCCTCGAACCCGTCATCTCCAGACAGATCATGGAGCTCCACCACCAAAAGCACCATCAAACCTACATCACCAACCTGAACGCCGCGCTGGCCTCGCAGGCATCAGCCATCCAAGCCAACGACGTCCCCCAGCTCATCTCCCTGCAGCAGAAGATCAAATTCAACGGCGGCGGCCACATCAACCACTCCCTCTTCTGGAAGAACCTGACCCCGCCGGGCTCCCCGGAATCCAACATCGACACTGCAGCGCCGACCCTCAAGGCCGCTATCGAGCAGCGATGGGGGTCCGTCAAGGGGTTTACGGATGCGTTCAATGCCACTCTGCTGGACATCAAGGGCAGCGGATGGGGTTGGTTGGTGAGCACCGAGCCCAAGGGGAAGCTGGAGATCGTCTCGACCCACGACCAGGATCCCGTGACGGGGGCGACGCCTATCCTTGGAGTGGATATGTGGGAGCATGCTTACTACCTCCAGGTACTTTCTCCTCTTTCATCCTCTATCCTCATGCTAATGAAACACTAGTACTTCAACAACAAGGCCGCGTACGCCGAGAGCATCTGGAAGGTGATCAACTGGGCTACCGCCGAGGATCGGTACAAGAATGGTGTGCAGGGTCCTTCTATCCTGAAGCTGTAGGCGCAGCTGTGTCTGTGCATGTGCCTGCTGTAGCTCTGTAGCTGCTGTAGTCTTCATCAGATGCAAGACATCAACAAGATTAAATAAATCCTAATCCTAGTCCTAATCCTAATCCATAACTCCATGCTAATATCAAATACAATGCAATACAATGTATGCACTAATCATACCCAACAATCCCCATCCCCATTCCCAGCACCTCGCTGCTCCCTCCCTCGGCAACAACAGTAACCTGCCTCCCTACAATCCCCCTCTCCGAAACCCCAAGGTCCAACCTCTCGGGCAGCACAAACTCCATCTCCATCCCCTTTTGCACCGATTTAGGCCGTAGCCGGAACCGATGCAGCGGCGGCGCAGTCAACTCAGACGTCAGGTCCCCATACCGCCTGCATGCTCGTTAGCATCCTATACCACCTAACCACCCAGATAAGTCCGTAGACGGGGGTAGGAAGGACATACTCAATCCTCAAATCGATACTCTCGCACTTCCCGAATGCAGCTCTCGTGCTGGGATCTTCGAGCCGGAAGACCGCTCGCGTATGGGACCGGGTCTGGCCATGACCCTCGTGGAAGAAGAGCGAGTACGTGTTCATGCTCTTGGTTGAGGGGGAGGGGAACATGACTGCGATGCGGCCGTTGGAGGCGGGACGGTGGGTGGTTCCGCACATTTTTAGTTTGCTATTTGTACAGGAGGATATATATGTATATGGATAGAGGGAATGAACGGCAGTGCTACATGTCTACAATGTCTACCTGGTGTGCTGTATTTATAGCTTCCCGCAAGGTATGGGAGTGAGCAGGATTGAGGGAATATCAGCCCGGGATGGACCCCCAKGGTGCTCAAATCCGCTCACATGTGGGTCGCGAGAATGTACTACTCCGGATTTTCCAGTTTCATCTAATTATTGGTCCTCCGCTTAGGTAGATGATAATTATTAGCTACTGCTACTAGCTATAGATTTATTGTTACATACATTAGTACCAGAGTCGATAACCCCAAGGTACCTACTTTGTCGTCTACTTCAACTCCGCAGGCGAAGACCACCTGACATATGCTAGAATCAACGAAACAAGTCTGTATTAAAAGGATTATTCTCTTCATATATAAATACTAATTAAACCGAGCTAGGATATGTACATCACGTATGATGAACCCGGACTGGGTGAGCCTCAGTGTTGAACACAAACTTGTTGCCATTCCCCCGTTGAACCTGCCACTCATCGTCTGCTCTCGTTAGCATCATCAAATGCAATGGATATTGGGGCTCATACCTGGTGCATGCGTCAAGTACGAGTACTTCATCACCTCGGCAAACAGGAAACTCTCCTGGTTGTCATACCGATCCCCTCCATTTACAGCGTTGACGTCGGTCAGCCCGGCGAAGCCAGACCCCGTGCGGCAGTACTTGTTGATATTTACAAAGGCATTCCACACCCAGTCACGGTACTAAACCCTGTCAGTCACAGTCACAAACCCCTACTGCAAGGTCAAGGACATACCTGCTTCTTGCCGGTGACGCGGTACGCATAGTACATACTCTCAATCACTTCCGGTCGCAGGATATATGCGCCACTTTGGACGTAAAAGCCGGCGCGTTCGTATAACTCCTTCTGGTCGTCAGGCACCGAGTTTGCATCCCAACCGAAACTCTCTGGTCCGATCCCCGTCAGCGTCTCCTGGTACAAGTCGGCGCATGCATCGACCAGCTTCAGTCCGAAATTGGTCAAGTCATCCCGGCCCAGCACAGTGCCGCCGAGCAGGAAGCTTCCTCCATCAAAGCAGGCCAGGTGCTGCGAGCTCAGACCCAGCGAGCCTTGGTTGTACGTGGCCAGGAATGTGAGATCCGGCCGCGGTTCGGGATGGGACGCCAAATGGTCGATACTCGACTGCGCGGCGGCCACCCAGCGGTCCTTGTACGTTGCAAACCGCTTGGGATCATACACGTACATCTTCATGAGATACTCGTAAAAGGAATCGGAACCGCCGTTCCAGCTAACGAAGCCGTCGGTGAATTGACCCGTTTGGATGCTGATTGAACTGCCGACGAGGCCAGGGAATGGCTCACCGGAGCTGGGCTGGGGCGCGAGTAGATAGGACTCGGCCTTTTGGCTGAGTTTCGCATACTCCGGGTCGCCCGTCAGATCGGAGAGACGGGTCCATTCCAGGACCAATGTCCCTGTAACCGCCAGCCCGTTGGTCGTGGAGCCGTCATTGCCATGCGACGTGATGTTGATATTATTGTATGGAACACCCGACGGCGTGTCAAAGGCAAACTTGAGCACGTCCCCAAGGTTTTTGGCTTGCTTCAGAAGCATGTCCACCTTGCTGCTATCCTTGACAAGGTCGGCGGCGGGCCCTTTGAGCAGGTCGTATCCAGACAGCATGCCGCCAAGGTACCGAATGGTGGTCTCAAACAGACTGACCGTGTCGGAGGTCTTGGAGTAGTCGATTTTGGCAATATGATCCAGAATCTGGTTGACGATCGTCGCATTGCGCATCACAATTGCAGTGGACAGAGCATCGACAGCAGATGCGCCCCAACCATTCCTACATAGATCAACACGTCAGGATGTACCTTGGAGTGAAGAAAGTCTGCTGATTGCCTACCTTGAATCGCCATAGCCATTGGAAATAGGGTGCAGCTCATCATGAGGAAAAGCGTATTTCGTATACCCATCCCAGGCGTGGGAAAAGGCCTCTTTGACGGCCGCCGCGCGTGAAGAGATATCTTCCACAGGCGGAACAGTCTGAGGCAACGCCAGAGACGAGTTCACGAGGGCCAGAGCCACGGACAGAGAGAGCAAACGCATGATGCCAACGAAGGAAAAATACAAAATCCCGAAACGAGACAAAGACAGGCACGGAGAAGTAGTCGCCTCCTAAGACATTCAACAGCAAACGAGTGACAGCCTGAGGAACAGGCGGATAATTATATGACAGTCTAGTCTAAGACTAAGAGAAGCGGACGATACACTTGTTTGGAGTCATCCAGGTCGAAGAGTGAAAAGAGGGGAGAAGGGGGGCCTGGAAGAAGAGGCGACTTGGAAAGAGGAGTCGCGTGTTGAGACGGAATGACGGACAGGACGAGGGATCATCGCAGGAAAGGATGGCATTCTGCATCTTGGACCTGCATCACTGGCCGACGTGTCGATCATCATCTCCATTTGTGAAGGGTCATGGACTAAATCAGATGGACTATTTGAAAGATACATTAGTCTAGAGTCTCCAGGAGTCTAGATATGGCCTAGAGAGTGCCTGAACTACCTAGGTATCCAACCCGATCCCCGATCCGCCGTCACTTGAGCTTGGACTCGGCGACGCTAAATTAGTCAATTACAGGGATCATTTGAACCTGGGGGGATTATTCACTAGTTAATTCTTGATTTCCCGTGTTTCTGTCAGTTCCGTCAATCTATTCCGAGTCTACGCCCCTTTTATGAAGGCATAGAGATATACTCTGGTAGAAGATGCCTGAGGACGTGTTTATTGTTATGCTTTCCTTTTTGGGATGCGATAAACGTGGATTATGCAGGGGTAAATCCATGGTATTTCTGGTACGCTTGGTACAAACTCAATACAGTACTGTCATTCTAATGCATCAGGGAGTATGAGTCAGCTATTCCTCTGCATTATTAACCAACCAGACTCAGGTACGGAGTAGGTACTCTTGTATACTGGCAATACCCTGGTGATAATAGGTAGCTCTCTAGCTTGAACAGAATGTAACATCTCGGTCCATAGCAATGCTACCTAATATCAGGTCTCCCCCTGAATGATCAGCTGCCAAGGTCAGATTCAAGTCCACCACAGCTGACTCTTCATCCTCATGCCCCTCATGGAAGCAGATGACCCTACTCCATACCCTGGCAGCCACCAGGAACACATGTGAAGAAGGCCTTGGGGAAAGGGGCTGGCCTACGGAGAAAAGAATGCTTCTATAACCTTGATATTAACCTTGATTTCTTCCCCTCTTCCGAATACGATGCCAGAACCAATGCGAGCCAACCCAGGACAACAACTTCTGAAAACACCCGTAGATGGTCAGTGTCTCCGCTCATCGGCGACATGTCAGATCAGTCCGTAGAGACCACATCAACTCAACACTCAAAGATCTCTCGTAAATATATTCAGTCAATCCCATCTTCAGTAGACAGTCGATTTGATATCAACCTCGAGGTTCACAGTGTCTGCCCCTGTCTGTGTAACTTGCACTCTTCTTTTTACTCGCTGCGTCCGATGCGGGGCCAAAATTCTCTCTGCCCGTCCAAAAAAGAAATTCTTGCGATGATTCATTCTCCCCTCGTCATCCTCCTCTCCCTCTCACCTTCTCTTCCCCCAGGCTAGGGACTTGGGGTTTGATCACTTTCATCATCTTTTTCATCAGATCAGATTGATCTCGCATTTTTTAATTTAATTGCCCATCAATTGTTCCACAGTCATAATGGCTACCCCAATCCTCATCTCCTACAACCCCACCTCTTCCTCCTCCGGTCTCTCCCTCTCCCAGATCGCCTACTTCGGCCGCGTCCTCATCAAGGTCTCCTCTTTGGCTCAAGCTGAGGAGTTCCTGCGTCAGAATTTCCGTCTCCTCGATGTCTACGTCGATGCTACCGACATCGCTTCCTCCGGTGACATTGTCGATATCCTGAATGCCGGTGCCGCCAAAGTGTTCATCTCCCTCGATCAATTGACCTCTTTGTCCCAAGAGCAATCCGTTCCTTCGTCACGACTCGTCGTTTATACCTCCTCCGACAGTCAGGTGGATGCCTTTCAGTCTTGGGTTGGCGAGGATGCTGAAAGAAAGGAAGCCGGAATCTGCACCGAGTCTCCCGCCGTCAAGTCTCTGGCCGACAAATTGGGCCTGAATCTTGAGGCTCAGAACCTCTACCGCACCTACACCGCCAGCACAGTCACCGAGGACGCCGTGAAGGAAACATTGAAGCAGGGCGCCGTCAGCATTGTCTCTGCCGACGCTCTCACCCTCGATCACAAGAATCCCAACGGCAAGATCGCCGCCGGCGCACTGGTTGCCGCTCGTGCTGTTGCGGACCAGAGCAACGGTCTGTACGCGACTTCGGTGACGGATGAGCGGGGAGTCTGTCTGGGCCTGGTCTGGAGCAGCGATGAAAGTATCGCCGAGGCTCTCCGCACTGGTACTGGTGTCTACCAGAGCCGGAAGCGGGGTCTGTGGTACAAGGGTCAGTCCAGCGGTGACGTGCAGGAGCTGATCCGCCTGGGCTTTGACTGCGACAGCGACTGCCTGGTCTTTGTTGTCAAGCAGATTGGCCGTGGCTTCTGTCACCTGGGTACCGCCAGCTGCTTCGGGCCTTACAATGGCCTTGCGCGCTTGCAAAAGACCCTTCAGGCCCGCAAAGCCGATGCGCCGGCCGGCTCCTACACCGCCAGACTGTTCAACGAGCCCAAGCTGACCCAGGCAAAGATCATGGAGGAGGCTGACGAGCTGTGCCGCGCCACCACCAAGGAAGAGGTCGCTTTTGAGGCTGCCGATCTACTCTACTTTGCCCTGACCCGTTGCGTAGCTGCAGGAGTCAGCTTGGAAGATATTGAGCGTAACCTGGATCTGAAGAGCCTCAAGGTCAAGAGAAGAAAGGGCGATGCCAAGGGTCCGTGGGCGGAGAAGGCTGGTCTTGCTCCTGCCCCCGCCGAAACGAAGCCCGCCGTTCCCGCAGCTCCAGCTAAGGAAGAAGCCAAGAAGGATGAGTCTCGCATGGAGATGACGCGCGTGGTCACCGCATCCACCCCTGTGGACAAGGTCAAGGAATACCTCAAGCGTCCTTCTCAAAAGTCCAACGAGGCCATCGTGGGTCTCGTTCGGCCCATCATCCAGGATGTGCGGGAGGGTGGCGATGCTGCTGTGCTCAAGTACACCCACAAGTTTGAAAAGGCGACTTCCCTGACGTCTCCCGTAATCCGCGCCCCTTTCCCCGCGGAACTGATGAAGCTGTCGCCTGAGACCCAGGAAGCCATCGATGTCAGCATTGCCAATATCAAGAAATTCCACTCCGCCCAGAAGGGTAGCAATGACGTCCTCCAGGTGGAGACGATGCCTGGTGTCGTTTGCTCCCGCTTTTCCCGCCCCATCGAGCGTGTTGGTCTGTACGTCCCCGGTGGCACCGCCGTGCTGCCGTCCACCGCTATGATGCTCGGTGTGCCCGCCATGGTTGCCGGCTGCCAGAAGATTGTCTTGGCTTCTCCTCCTCGGGCCGACGGCAGTATCTCCCCCGAGATTGTCTACGTCGCCCACAAGGTGGGAGCCGAGAGCATTGTCCTCGCCGGTGGTGCGCAGGCCGTGGCCGCCATGGCTTACGGAACGGAGAGTATTAGCAAGGTGGACAAGATCTTGGGCCCCGGTAACCAGTTCGTGACGGCGGCCAAGATGCTGGTTTCCAACGACACCTCGGCCGGTGTCAGCATCGATATGCCCGCCGGACCTAGCGAGGTGTTGGTCATCGCCGACAAGGACGCCAACCCGGCCTTTGTGGCTTCGGATCTGCTGAGCCAGGCTGAGCATGGCGTTGATTCGCAGGTGATCCTGATCGCCGTCGACTTGAACGAGAGCCAACTCCAGGCCATCGAGGACGAGGTTGATGCCCAGGCCCGGGCCCTGCCCCGCATGGACATTGTCCGAGGATCTCTGGCCCACTCCGTCACCTTCGTGGTGCGTGACATTGATGAGGCGATGGCGCTCAGCAACGAATACGCGCCGGAGCATCTGATTCTGCAGGTCCAGAACGCGGAGTCGGTGGTGGAGAAGGTCGTCAACGCCGGCAGTGTTTTCATCGGGCAGTGGACCCCTGAGAGTGTTGGTGATTACTCTGCGGGTGTCAACCACTCTTTGCGTAAGTTTCGTCACTTCCCGTGCAGGAGTCAAGCTAACAACAACAGCAACCTACGGCTATGCCAAGCAGTACTCTGGAGTTAACCTGGGCTCGTTCCTCAAGCACATCACCAGCTCCAACTTGACGGCAGAGGGATTGCTGGGGTTGTCTCGCACGGTGGAGCAGTTGGCTGCCGTTGAGGGATTGGACGCGCACAAGCGGGCCGTGAGCATCAGAGTCGCGGCGATGAAGAAGAACCAGGCGTGATGACCTTTAGTTTTTCGGACTTTACGACGAGATGCAGTTATTGTATTCATTAGACATGAGCTTGATGGAATAAAAATCTATAGTTTCTTTTTTAAGGAGCCCCAAGACATAAGATGAATGGTATTCACAGTATATGCGCCTGAACTCCTCAAGCCTCTATTATAAACCAGATGAAAGAACTTTTGCTTGACCTCCAGCCCAATGCAAGAAAAAAGGAAAAAGGTATCATCGACATGAGCTGCAATAAGAAAGATCAGTCCAAGTTCACTTCTTGCGCTCGCGGATCTTCCACTTGATGCCATCCTTGTTTGTCCCCCCAACCGAATTATCCATCCGCCCTCGCTGCCAGTCCAGCTCGCGCTCGGCGGCAGTGATATCGGCGTACTGCTTCCGAAGCGCCTTGAGCTTGTTCTCGCGAGCCTCGGCAGCTCTCTTCTTCATCTTGCGGACCCGACGAGCCTCGACGAGAGCCTGCCTCTCCGCCTCGAGCTGTTTCTGCGACTTTTTCTGCTGCTGCTTCTTCTGCAATTCACCAAACGACTGTTGCTCTTCATCCTCATCCTCACTCTCTTGATCTTCTTGAAGCCGCCGTTTCTTCAACGCCCGCTGCTCCCGCTGGTCATCCGCAAAGACCAACTTCCTCGCCTTCTTTTGCCCGCGCTTCTCTTTCGGCCCGAAATCAAAATCAAAGTCATCATCGTCTTCCTCCATGTCCTCCTCCTCGCTCTCATCTTTCTTCTCCCCAAGAGCCTCATGAATTCCCTCCTGTAACCTCACCTCCTGCTCCACCTTCTCGATCTCGCGTCGTAGCCGCTCCCCCGTCGTTCGCAGGTACGCCGCATCCTGCGTCTTGAGCAACTTGATCGCATCGTGGCTCAGTCCCCGCTTCGCAGCCGAGTCGCGTGCCGCAGCGCCGTGCTTGCCTTTTGTCCGCGAGTGCGCGGACATCATGCCGAAGGCGAATTCATCCGGGTTGCGGTTGGAAGCGAGTTCCTGGAGGCGCTTGAGCTTGGCCTGTTTGGCATTGTAGTCTTTGGCGCGGAGGGAGTAGTCCTTTCATCTGTCAGTACTTTTGTTCTAGTAGATATTTGAGGGGAAAGGGGAGGGGTGAGGCCGTACTTTGTGCTTTTCGAGGATACCCCATTTTTCGCGGCCTTCGAGTTGGCCTCGCTCACGGTGTTGCCGTCTTTGGACGGCGTTGCGCATGGAGGACATTTTGTAGAATTTTGTCCTTTTTGGTTATATTATATTAAAGGGACCGAACGGTGTGGAATAGAAATGGTTGAAGAGATGTTGGTGTCTGGAGATGAACTGCGGAGTTTGAAAAAATTCGGCTTGGCGGTAAACCTCATCGGACAACGTCTTGTGCAGCCTACGACCACGACCACGACTACGACTCCGCACCTCCCATTTTCCTCCTCAATTCACACCAGCTCTGCTCAATTGATCTACGCGGTCGGGAATTTCTACCTCAACCATTGATACTATCCATTTTCCGAAGACTAAGTGTCAAGGCCTGCCTCCGAGGCATTGGCATCGGGATCAGCATCAGCATCGGACATCATGGCTTCAACATCAGCATCAGCAGCCGCATCCACAGCATCAACGACACCGTCAACACCTACATCACAACCACAAAGCACACGAAAATACAACCTCCACAATCCCCTCCCTCTATCCGCCGCCCAGGAAGCCGAAGTCAAGCAGCTCTACTACAAACGCGTACGAGCGCATTGCGCCCCGGAGATCAAAGGTGTGTCTGAGCCCGTTTCCCAAGTGGTCTAGAAAGAGGAAAGGGGTGCTAACGGCTACACTACAGCGTTCGCGGAATGTGCCGTTAATCGGACGGTAACGGCCACCTGGGTATGTCGGACTCAGCGGCTGGCCATGAACTCTTGTATGGTTGCGCATGCGAAGCCTGAGGAGGAGGACCGGGCACGGGAGGAGTGGTTCGCGACGCATGAGGAGAGACGGCGGGCGAGGGAGGAGGAGTTGGCTCGGGTTGAGAAGCGGAGGGAGGAGGTGATTCGGATGATGAGGGAGGATGAGGCGCGGAGGAAGAGGTAATTTCGACACTCTCGACTGTCGTCTGGCGTACATAGGGTGGCGTTGATTGTTGATTTACATCATTATCATTGCATGATCGATTGGGAAGACAGTCATTTCATTATGTACAATACGCTTTGCTTTGCTTGTTTGAGAGCGCCGGCATCAAACCTTGACCAATGCAAGATCATGGAATCTCCACACTCAACCCAAGCGCCGAACTCCGTCTAAAGGGAACTAAACATCCGTCATAGCCTTGTCCTCATCTCCTTCACCGTCCCCCATGGCTGTATCCTCCCCAAATATATCCTCCATCTTGCCGTCCTCATCATCACCCTCGCCCATATCCTCATCCCCCTCCTCCTTGACACCTCCCAACCCACCACCAGCCTGCCTCTCCTGATCCTGACCGACGCCCCCCTGCGCCGCCGCATCCTCGACCTCCTCCTCCCCTTCACTCTCCCACTCATCCTTCATATTCCACCCCGTGCCGGTCAGACAGAACCGCTCCGGCGGCAACCGCATCCCCGCCATGATAACACTCTGATTGGCCGCGGACACACTCTTCGCCTGGCCCGCAGTGTCAAAGCCCCTCGACGCACCCGGCAACGCTACGCGATTCCGCTCCGACGCAACATCCATCAAAAACTCCTTCGGCAGCCCTGTCTGGAACTGGTAATGGAGGCGCGACGCGATGCTCAGCCGCAGCGCAGGGAGCGTCACGCTGTTGACTTCTACCGGGCCACGACTGCTGCCTGGCCCTGCGTCTGTGGCGCCTGCGTAGCCCTCCGTCGCGAGATGGACCGCGTCCTGCAGAACGCCTGAGGTGTAGCGATACGCGAAATCGAGGAGTTGCAGCGGGACCCGTTCCTGGTATGCGGTTACGCCGAGGGAGGCGAGGAGCATGTGGATTAGGCGGACGTCGCGTGGGCGCCGCGATTTGCCGCTGTCTGTGAGTGACGTTGATGGGATCTGGGTGGGCTGAGGAGTTGCGGAGGCCATGGCTGTGTTGGGTGCGGTGGTGGAGGTTCCCGTAGGGTGAGGTGGTTGCGAGGAGGTGGTGGCGTTGGCGGTGTTATTTGTTGATGAGGGTTCGGCTGGCGGTGTTAGAGGTTGATTCGATGTTGAGGCCGGAGCCTGTGCTTGAGCTGGCGATGCCATTGTATGTGTTTGATGGTTGGATAGGTGGATGAGGAAGTGAGGTGAGGTGCGGTCAGAGAGAGGTGTGGTAGGAAGTATAGGAGAAACCAGCTATCGGTGGAACGTCTCAGAGCATCCACAGCTAGAGAACAGCAGCTAGCATAAATCCGACGAGTAGAAGACTGCGATCTAACGACAGAGCGTGGTTGTGTTATTATTGAACTAAGGTTTTACTGTCGGAGTTGATCGAGGAGCTGGATTTCTTCGACTCCATGCGGCGCTATGCCATATTCGGAAGTCATAGCATGGGCTCTATCCAATGCTCATGACAACCCCACAACGACGGCACATTCGACCGGACAGAAACAACTTGATTATATAACAATATGTATCTGTATTCTAACACTCTATTCAGGTGCAAATACCTCGAGAAACGACTCTGAAACAAACCATGTAACTCGCTGAGAATCTCGGTAGCGCCAGGTCGTCCAACAATGCTCGCAACAGAAAACAAGAACAAGGCAGCAATCACTATGCAATTATCCAACGCCGCTTATGCAAAGGAGTCAAGATGTCAGAGAGTCTCTGATAATGTGGGCCGACGCTGTCACGGCAATTGATGCGAGGGTTGGGTATCATTGAGCGTTGCAATGCCATGCGAAACAGCTTCGGTTATATCCAAAAAAGACGTCGTGATCTAATATTCTTCACGCTCTGTCTCGGTTTGCTCAAACTGACCGAACGGGTGCAGACGCTGGGGAAAGCCTCGAATTTAGCAGCTTGGTCTCTGCGGCCATATTATCCGCATTTTCGGCTTCGTCTTCCTCGACTTGGGTTGAACCGTCTGTGGCTACAGAGGCGATGGAGTCAGACAACCGAAGTCCATCCATCGACTCCTGAGAGATGTAACTCTCCCCAAGTTCGTCAACCTCCTCATCAATTTCACTGCCATCTTCTTCGGTCAAATCGCCCTCATACTCCTCCTCTTCCTCATCTTCTATCTCCTCGTCGAGTTCGTCTTCGTCCTCTTCGTCTTCTTCATCACTATCCGTATCCGAGAATATCTCAACGTCCTGAGGAGCTTCCCTCCAGTAGGTGAAATCAGTGCAATTTTCACCCCCGGGCTGGACCAGCAGGCTGACAGGTGGGAAGAAATGGTCCAGCAGTTCCTGCATGGTCACGTAACTGCTCTTGTACTTATTCAGGCTGAGAAGATCCAAGGATACCTCCGCGTTCGAGTTGATGGTGAAGATCCTGGTCGACGGAATGTTGACCGATCGGTAACTCAGCGCGTCTGTCAGACGGTTGCCGAAGCCAGCGTAGAACGGATTCTCCTTTCCGTTGAAAAGACCCAAAATGTCCCGCAAGCAAGCCATCTTGAACACTTCCGGTTTCCTCAGGTAGATTTCCCGCCTGAGCGCCGCAATCGTCCGGTCAGGGCTCATAATGACAGGACCCTTGGGCAACCTGTAGCCATCTTGGCAGACTCCGTAAATGTAGGTACGGGTGGTATCCGCCTGACCCACTGATCGACTTGTGAGATACATGATATTGTAGCCGTTATTGACTATGTCGGTGTAGAGCTTCGCCACACCAGCATGAGTCCAATCGCGACCGATCATATTCAACACATGGCCTAAAGCATCGGACCTGCACTTCGTCAGTATGTTGACATATAATACACAACATGAAAACTAACTTCGTGATCGTCCCATCGATATCGGAAATGACAATAGGCGTGGTGCTATTCCAGAGGTACATGGTCGCAGTACAGGTAGCTCTGTTCACACTGAACGACATTGGATTGGCACCAGGCTTCAGATTCAGTGCCTTGAGCTGGTCACTCGTCAGGCGAAGAGTCTTGGCATAATTCCGGGTCTGCTCTGCTGGAGTCGAGTCTTGAGTAGGTGACTGCGGAGGGGTAGGGAAGCCTGGCTGCACGTCGGATTGCGCACGCTGATGCCGAGTCGGATACGGCGACTCGGACACAGGGTGATCGGTGTCGCTGTGGTACCCAGGGTCAGAGATGGCGTTTTCACTCATGGCCGAGTGCGGTCGCATCGAATTAAAAGTCGCCCGGCGGTTGGCAGCCTCCTTTGCCTCCTCGCTGCTGTAGATCCACAAGTTTCCATGCTCGTCCGCTCCGATAAGGCCTCCAATATCGTAGCTTGCCTCCAGTTCCTCCGCCAATATCTTACGGGCAATGACTTCGGCACGTAGAGCGTCCTCCTCGTTGCTTTTGTAACCGGTCATGTCGAGCATGAGATCGCCCGTCTCATTGACCCGAGTTGGAATGTTGGATGATGACAGTTTCTTTGAAAGAGAGAGTGCGCGCGAAACGGCTTCCTCAGGCGTCAATAAAGGAGGACTCCGAGGACGCTCAGTTCGATTGTGACCGTCGCTGGTTGTGGGACTGGGAGGCTGCGATCCAACTGCAAAACCACCCTCACTGGAAGTGCCGGTACTTTTCTTCGCTGTTATTACAGGCTCAGACGCTGCACGGTCAAAACCTAGTGCGTTGCCCAAGGAGCCGCGGCGGAGTCGGTTGATGCTGGTCTCATCCGGGGACTGTGACAGAGGAGTCATGGTACCTATATTCATATGAGCAAGAGCCTCTGATCCTAGCCAAGGAAAGCGCCACCATACCCAAATCACTAGATGCTCTCATCCCCCTCGAAAGCAGAGGTATGTCCGAGCCTGCTTTCGCATCCTGCGAAGGAGTAGTGGCAGAGGACTCTTTGAGGTCCAGAAACTCCGGTTCTTGAAGCGAAGACGGAAGATCTTCCTGGCTCTGCGTTCTCGGACTAGCCGCCGGCGATACTAGCGGTGACGTCTGCAGTGAAGCGGGGATCTCGTCTGTTGTTTCAAAAACGAAAAAGGCTTCTCCGCCCTCCCCGAGCTTCATCGCATAGTCCTGCTTGACTCCATTGACTTGAAATTCCACCTGAAAAAAAATCCAGCTCAGTCAAGTCCGAAAAAATTCTCCGGGACAGCATATCGGTACCTTCTTCTCATATGGACGAAGCAAAGAGAACTTGCCGAATCGAACATGGAACGGGGAACAGGCGAGTGTCCCTATCAACAAGCATTAGCAACAAAAGGTTATAGAGACCAATATGTATGAGGAGCTACCATCTTCCTGCTCGATGACGATGACATCAATGGCCCCGCTCAAGGTGGCTGGATTGATAGAATTCCATGTCTTTGACACCGAACCGCTGATACTTCGGACGTACTGCATCCCGAGATGGCGACGCCGGATGCGCCTTCAATTAATTCGGATGCACCAGGGAAGCGAGCAGAGATAGTGAAGACCGACGATTGAGATAGGTAAGGCAGGAGAGGTATGTGTAAAGGTTTGAGACTATGTCAGCAGTCGGGAGGTTGGCAGGAATTGCCGCCTACATATGACCCATGTGACAATGTCTGAAAGAGCGCTCCAGCCGCGACATACCCAGCTGGGGAAAACGAACGTAATGCCGTCTGAAACAAGACCGAGCTAAAATACAAGGAACAAAGAGATCTATATTTGGACAACAAATAGACCCTAAACAAAGCGACAAGAGAGACAAAGAGGAGAAGAGCAGGAGAATGTCAAAATGCAGGTTGTACTGAGATAAACGAGTTCTGACGATAGAGTGTTGGCTGTTGGGGGAGCACCTTTCGATGATGATTACTGCGGGCGCTCTCAACCGCCCAACGAGCGGGCCAAGTCACATGTCACGGGCCGAATGGAAATGGATTCCTAAGGCTGCAGCAGATTTGCTCAGAAAGGAAACTTCCTCGGTTTAGGTCTTCCGGAGGAGGGCCGAGCTGTGCACTAAGCCTGATTGGGATGCAACTCTGGGCGTTACTATTTCAGGAAGGATCTTCGTGCCAAG